TGTTATGGGTTTATTACCATTTATAACATTGTTCAAGAACTACGCAAACTGACTCCCAATTCCCAACTACATTTTACCCTCATCTATTAAAACATTTTTGTCCCTTGAAATCCGGCTTTAAAACATTACCATATTTAAATATGCACGGAAATGGATATATGCCCCTTAAATCTTTCCGTTAAACTATGTAAAATTCAAAGTATAGGATTTATAGAGTACTATAAAACAATACAATTGAATTTGAATTACGGTATCTTTATTAAGGAATTTCCATCCCTTATGGGACCACCCTTAAATGTCCATCAAGTACATAGTACTCTGCTATTATATTAAAGCACTTTATAGTGGAAAAGGATCGCTCGCGAGAAAGTTTTAAAAAAATCATTAATTAAGCAGTAGTTAATTAACAAAGATTGTATTGAGGTCTATGAGAGAAAGCTTTTTTTTCTAAATAAAAATTCAAATAATTCGAATATCTATAAATCCTGTGGCGGAATGATGCACTGAAACATTAAAAATAGAATGACAATTGAAAACAATTTTTTACCGGCTAAATTTTTTTAATTGATTTTTTTTTTTCATTAATTAAAAAAGAGGAGATAACTCTTACCAAAATTCAAGGTCATAAATTAGGACACACCCCATTATATATACGAATAGAAATAAATGGGAAGTATGCCTAAATAGACTGAGTATTTGATGCCTACATATCTGTTATGTATTCAATTCACTGAATGTGTTCCTATTAAGGATTGAATACCTTAATTTTCAAAACTAAATACATGTACTATGTAATAAAATTTTACGACAGATACATTGCTGAGTCTTGTAAATGATATACCAAATCCTTATCCTTAATCCTAATAACACTGTTTCGAACTACCGTTGTGCATTGCTAGGAAATATTCATATCTTGTTTTGAATCATCCACAAATTGCTTTGTTAAAAAGAAACATAATTGTTTCTACTCTCGGGTACTCCGAACTCGTACTTGTTCCAGATGGGGTCTTCCAAAAATTATTTAAATTCCATTGGGCATTTATTCTGTTTGTTAAAAAGGTTAACTGGTTTTTTTAATCTTATGAGGCAGAATTTATTTTTCAAAAATGTACTAGAGAAAAAGAAAATTACTGATTGGCCTTCAACTTGACATTACGTTATATTGACAAAATACCGGTATGTTCGATAAACAATAATCAAGTCGACTCGATTTACCCTAGTGAAGGACACCAAAAATCAAAATTATACATTTGGTTCATATGTGGATATTTTACTTATCACTTGACGATAAACGAAACGACGTTGGGTATACCATCGTCACTTTTCCCTACTACCGTTGTTATATTCCAATATTACCAGCATATAGTGCTAATTAAGGTCTAACAACTGTACAACTTTAAACTGATTCAAACCACTAACAAATAAGTTGATGTTACAGGAATATCTACAAAGTAGCTGAAAGGAAGCATTTGCAAATCTAGACCTCTTTTAAATGACTTTGTTGGGGAAAAAAATCCCCATCCATTAGTCACATGCAATCTATTATTGTGTTGCATAATGTTTCATACAAATCAGGTCTTTTTTTTAAGAAATAATGAAATACATGGACATAAAATAACAATATTCAAGCTGAAAAATCTATTCAAATAATTCAACTCCGGAGCAGTGCATACATAAAGCTCTAACACATTATAGTCTGGATCAGGTGCCATGGAGGAGTGAGTCTCACCTGCCGACCACTCACACCCGCCGTGTACTCCTTGTCATGATCGAGAAATAATGTTAAAATCAATCGAAAATTCAGTGTGTAACTAATAGCACCAAACAATAAATAAGAAAAATTCAGTCAACGCTTGATTCAATGCTAGATTGTATGTGCTTTAATACAAGGTCACTTTATGAATCATAGAACTTACGAATAATGACTTTAAACGAGGTTTCTGATATACTTTTTCATAAATTTTTTTTTAAATAACTTCCCTCGTTTTAGAAATTGTTCATACGTAGAGCATCCTCTTGCGTATCGAATCATCTGAGAACTACAACCAATATATCCCGTGATAGGGGTATACTGCTGCATAAGTAAGGGACAGTAAGGATTGAAAAGTTACAATTATCATGTTTATCGTAAAGAGTATATCGCTGCTTAAGTAAGGAAAGTTAAAGATTGAAAATTTACAATGATAATGTTTATATAATGTAATAAGTAAGGAAAATTAACGATTATTTATTGTAATTTGTTTATCAGAGAACGTTGTTGTTAGGTTACTTTTGACGTTTTTTTTTTTTTTTTTGGTTAAATATCCTGATATGAAACAGAAGTGTCAGACTCTGTGGTATCTTTTATCCCGTCTCAAGCTCACTGGAATATACAGTGTCGATAAATAAATGGAAATAACTTTTTTTAAAATTCTGTTTCATATGAATACAAAAAATAGTTCTAATAACGGGGCCCGATTGATACCCCTAGAAATTCTAACAAATCTTTGCTATATTTACTTCGAATTATTCCGTTGTCTGATTATTAAGAAGTAAAAATGATTTATGGGAGACCAAGTATTCTTAGCCGGCTGACTCAACATCTGTCTAAAGGCATATGTTTGTGTCCCTTTACTTTTTTGTTATTGACAAAGGGATATATGACATTAATCAAAGTAAGGGGTTTTTTTAAATTGTCATTTCAAAAGTTTATCCGCCGAAATATGGCTGAAATATTGCCGACTCGGCGTTCAACAAAAAACAATCAATCAATCAAAAGTTTAAGGAAAATATAATATTTATTATGAAGGATAAATAATTATCAAAATTTTAATTTGACCTACTCCTTTCACTCATGATTTTCAATATAAGACTTAAAATTGTTTGAAACACAAAGACATTCTTTTCCATCTGAAAACAATGTTTAGAAATCAGAAGTCGATAAGAAACTTATTGTAGAATAGCTCTACAAAGAATCATATCTATCTATTGAATTTGAAGCTTTATTGAGATCTTTATTTATCGCTCTCAAAAAAGTCAGGCGATTACTTCACAGTATTGAGGAGTTTCGTTGGTTATTGAATGTCTTTGGTTTTCGTTCCTCGTTTTTGTTACTGGTTCTACGTATTCAGTTGCTAGATCAGTTCCTTCTGGTTCTACGTATTCAGTTGCTGACCCAGTTCCTTCTGGTTCTACGTATTCAGTTTCTTGATCAGTTTCTTCTGGTTCTACGTATTCAGTTGCTGACCCAGTTCCTTCTAGAGGTACATCTAGCAGTGTATATACACTATCAATCTGTCTTTGAACGTCTCCAGCGGCCACGTATCTAAAAAATAAAGGTACTTACTCTTCGTTTTCAATATTTGAATTTTTCTTATTTCGAGTTTATAATTAAAATGTTATTGTGAACTTAATTAACAATACAATTTAAAGATGCTCAAGATCCCCAGCTAAGAAAAGAAGGTTTTTGTTTTACTTTACCTATTTATAAAGTCTGAAAAATAAAAGATGGAAAAACTGAGATGACGAGTTAAAGTGGCGAGGAATTTAAACATCCGAATTCTTTCTTCGTTAGTATAGGAACAACAGTTGCTTCTTTGCATAAAAAAATAATAATAATTTTCCGTGGTAACCGTATTTGAAAGATTATGCGTTATTTTTCAATATAGCGTATTAGCGTTATAGTTCAAACATTTGGCTTTAAAATGGTTCTAACTAGATAATTGTTGATAAATTGATTACTGCAATCAGTTTTCAAAAGACATAAAGGAGAGAAACGTCAGAGGATGTTAATACTTGTATATTTACATCGAAAATTTATTATGAATTAATAAAATAATAAATTAATTAAAAGAAATGTGTCCCTTGAGCGAATTACAACTCTTTCCATGGATTATTCTCCAATCACTTACTCTTTCTTTATGAATATTTGTGCCAATTTATGTTTTAAAAATTATCATTGTGTTACCAGTAATGTACATGTCAAATGTGAAAGTCATATCTCTTCAAGTTATCAGGAAATATTTTTGAAAAGTAGGTCAAACTTCAAGGTCACAGAGTCAAAAGTCATGATACATTTCGAAAGGTCGTATCACAGGTAATATACATGCATGTATAATATGATTGCCCTATCTTTTCTCTTTCAAAATGATCAATTTAAAACAATTTTAATTTTTTTTTTTGCAAGTAAGTCAAACTTCAAGGTCAAGGTCACGGTTTAAAAAAAATCATGGTATATTTAGAATGATATTGTCACAGATAAATACTAACACACATGTTTAATATGAAAGTCCTGCCTCTTCTCATTCAAAAGATATGACCATGATGAGCACGGTTATATTTATTGTGACTGACGGACAGACTGACATACAAATAAGATTTAACGTCCCCTACCTTTCGCAGAAATGGGGGACAATAAATGTCCTTGCTGTTCTTGTGAGAAGGACTATATGATGATGATTTTATTCTGTGCATGGATAAACCTTGATTCTGTTACTTTACCACGGCCGAAAGGTCGAGTGACGCCTCGGTACAGGTATGATGGGCAGCACTGGCTAAAACTGCGCACAAGTTACTTAACGCACTTTCCGAAAATTTATGATAGAAAAAGTCCCCTATTTCTATGTAAATTGGTTGAAATAAGCCCAGTGGTTCTCAAGAAGAAGCTAAATATGTGAAAAGTTTGCTGCCAAACAGATGGACGACAGAAAAAATGTGTTTGGGGAACTAGAAAAGCTCAAATAGCTCAAATGATTCACAATTATTCGGAAAGGGTTACATATGGCAAGCCCTTTTACTATTTATTCGTAAAATAAATTTTTCTTTCAAAATGAGAGATATCTCTCTAGCATAGAGAGATATCTCTTTAGCTTAAGGAGATATCTCTTTAGCTTATAGAGATATCTCTTTGACTAATAGAGATATCTTAATACTTTAGAGAGATATCTCTTTCAACAAAAGAGATATCTCTTTTTGAAAGAGAGATATCTCTTTTAGTAAGAGAGATATCTTTATAAGCTAGAGAGATATCTCTTTAAACGAGAGAGATATCTCTTAAAGTTAGAGAGATATCTCTTTAACAAGTTTAAAAGAGATATCTCTCTTAATTAGAGAGATATCTCTTTAGATTTTCAAAAAGAGATATCTTTCTAAGCTAAAGAGATATCTCTTTTAATGAAAGAGATATCTCTTTTCCAATCACCCTTAAAATAAAATAACTAATTCTCCCGTTAAAAACGAAAGCGAAACAGGAAGTAATGTCTGTTAAGTCGTTCGTTTTCTGGTTATTGAAAAGAAGAGGATAAAATGGACCGATTGATACAGGTAAACAACGTTTAATTGCTTTATTGTTTTAAGCGAAAGTAACAGGATTTCAAACCAAAACGTCCCCCAAAGATTGGTTCCATATTATATTTATTTCATTTATTTAACTCACAGGACAGCTGAGCCGGGGATATAGAATGCGAAGTCAATAAAAACAAATTCGAAATAGGCCTACATGCACCCAATTTCATCGATCACAGGAATACAGGATTGATTACTACGTCGATTAAACATAATCCTGATAGAATTAATGTTCTTTTTTAATTAATTAATACTCCAAAAATAAAAACGTCCAACATTACTTCTTTCATGTAAACAGGGATGTATTATATATTCAACTTCAATATTAACTGTTGGACGTTAAACGACATACATGTACGATCAATATATTAACTGTAAAGCCTTATGACCCCCTTCCCAAACACAGGCACCTGAAGTATGGATAATACCCCCTTTTTTTTATAAAATTTAACAAAAAAGGGGGGGGGGGTTATTACATACTTCAGGTGCCCGTGTTCCCAAATACTCTTACAATTATGAGAAAGACATTTTATTTTCTTAATATAGGCATTAGAAATAGGAATTTTCTTATTTGTCTTAGCTAGAACAATCCCCAATTTATCCAATGTTGTCACCAAACAGGTCTGCACTGGGTCCATAAGACATTCATCATTCAATGGTAGAACATTTTATCTACATTTGTCATATTTTACAGAGATCCAGGAGGTACTGAAAAAGGGACAATGCTTCGACTGAATGTGTCATCCATGTACCAGTATAGACCTGTTAAATTGTTAATGAGGCATATCCAATAATTCTTATACTCATGAAGAGTGCGGCAACTCCCAAGTAGTTAAGGATGGCACTCATTTTAAATCAGGTACAGGATAATTTTTTGGGCTGCACTTTTCTTTACTTCAATATTTCTTAAGTATCAAGTCCACAAAAGCTCAAACACCATGGTGAATCAATGGACCATAATGATAGTTAAATTTGTCATATGCTTTCTTATTAAATTATCAATTTGAAATTTGATTGGTAAAAAACATTTATTAACAAGTACAATTCTTCTACTGTGTGCCTGTCATCCCAACAATTGCAAATGCACATTGATACATGTAGGTTCTCCATGAAAATTGCTAACTGTGCAGAATGGTTGCACATTTTTTCAATGAACGACATTTTCTTAACATTGAATCCTTCAGTATCACAAGACAAATATTGCATGCTTATTTTAATACAATATAAATAAACTTAAGAACAAATTTAAGGATTGAAGTTTAATTTGTATATATGGTAGTTACATGCGTAATTAGTTTTATATATAAAGGATGTACACAAGCATTTTATAACATTGAAAATATTCAAGAAAGTATTCTCTTAATTTCTTGTAGATCCTCACTTCTAGGATGTTTTCCATGTTCTTGTGAAAAGTGTTTTACATGGCACCATTCAGCTACAAATACTTTGCCGGTGGAACTGTGACATCAATCAACTGCTCATGCCACTGCTAATTGGCAGAATTTCCTTTGGGACAAGCAAATTGTTTCAAATATTTTACACCTGCAAGTTAGTACTTATGAAATTTTGTTTGCAGGAAGCTAAAAGCTAATGAGTACTGAAAATACAAGCCAGATGAAGTACAAAAGTGTTGATACAAGTCATTTAGAATTTTCAATTCTTTGCAGGTAGTGATGAGTGTACTGGAAGTTTTTTCGGGATCTTGTCCGACATCATAGGTACAACTGGTCACTGTGCTTTCTTGGTTATATAAGCAGGCATATTGTTAAAGCGGTGACACATGTAGCTTCAAACGATGCTTGACTGTTTAAGTGTTTTTCTTTGATTTATAAGTAAACCTGGATTGATCTCTGATGCAGTAATATAGAGCCATGTCCATTCTTTAATATTCCATCATCCCACTGTCACAAAGTACTGAAATAAAATTGATTTTGATTTTAAAAATTTTTGGTTTTTATATGTAACATAAAATTCTACAGAAATTCAAATATTAAAACTACTTCAAAACAAGATGTGTTTGTGAAACACTATGCACCAGGCGGCAACAAATTCAAACAAGTTTTTTTAAGCATATAGGTCATAGTCAAGGTCACAAGGTCATTGGCCTTGGTGTCATTTGAAAGAGCTTAATTAGTGGAGTATGCAAATCAAATATGAAGTCTCTATCTTTAACGGTACAAAAGGTATGGTGAAAGTTCAAAATGGTATTTATAGCATTAAAGTCACATTAAAGGTCAAAAGTTCACTGGCCTTGGTGTCATTTGAAAGAGCATAATTAATGAAGAAGGCATTCCAAATATGATTTCTCTATCTTTAGTGTATCAAAAGTTAAGGCGAAAGTTAAAAAAAAAGCTATTTTTAGCATATATGTCACAGTCAAGGTCACAAGGTCATTGACCTTGGTGTCTTTTGAAAGAATTTAATTAGTGGAGTAGGCATATTAAATATGAAGTCTGTATCTCTCATGGTTCAAAAGTTATTGTGGAGGTTAAAGTTGACAAAAGACAAAAAGACATAGAAACAGGATATAAACAATAGACAATAATTCACTTATTTTATGATTGTGTATATTAATGTGACTGAATTTTGGACTCATTTTGTACAAAGGTTTAGTGTCATTGAAAAAGATTACAAAATATCCAAAAGAACTGTTTTACTTGTTAATATAGAAGGAAGTTGTTTAGAAAATTTTCTTTTATTAGTTGCAAAAAATTTTATTTACTATTCAAGATCACAAGATAGTAAGCCATTATTTATTGATGCAGTAAAGTTATTCAAGTATTACAGAAACATAGAAAATTGTTGTGAAAAAGTTTTTCAATGTAAGGACAAAATACTCAGTAAATGGGTCCTGTGTGATAATGTGTACAACAAGTGATGAAAAAATCAAAATTGTAATTTTTTGTTAATTTATATCTACACATTCGGTACATCTGTTTTGTTTTTGGATAAATTGTATGTTTAACTGTCATATGTTTACATATATGTACATTTATTATGCCCCCCCCCCTCTTTGAAGAAAGGAGGGCATATTGCTTTGCTGCTGTCTGTTGGTCCACTTAGTCTCCATTCATTTTCTTCACAACCATTGCACTGAAATGAAATTTGGTATACAGCCTTACAGGTATATCAGATGAATATCTAGGTCAAGTTCTGTTTTGGGTATGATCATCGCACCATTTTTGACAGAGTTATACCCCTTGGCTTTAGAAAAATTCCAATTACTTGCAGTTTCTGTTCATTTCCTTTGCAGAGGTTGCACATAGTGAAATGCAATTTAGTATACAGATTTATCAGATGATCATGAATATCTAGGTCAAGTTCTCTTTTGGGTATGCTTGCACCATTTTTGACAGAGTAATGCCTTTTTCGACTTAGATAAAAAATTCCAATGTGGGGGGAGGGGGGCATAAGTATTTTACAAACATCTCATTATTTTTAATTTTAGAAAGTGCACTGTGTGAGTGTGTGCAATTGTGGTGGTGAGTGGGTGAAAATTGTCTTGTGTTTGTACAGTGTATATATGGATATGGAAAATACTTCAAAATAAAGCATTTAAAAAAAAGTTTTGGAAAGTATGGCAATCATATACCATGCAGTACTCAGAAATGCTAAATAAAAGGCTGCGTAGAAGAAAAAAAAAAATTAAAACTACCAATCAAATAAGTATTAAATGTAAATCTTTTAAGACGAAGGTTTTGCTTTGTCAGATTCTTTGCTTATAGGGACACTTACCTTTAATAATGTCATGACAGGTGAGGCACATGGCTGGTCTTCATGCTGGATCAGTTCTTATTTAAAACCATCCAGTATTGCCCCAAGATTGCCAGATGTACAGACAAAACCTGTAATTTAGCAAGCTTCTGTAATATGCCAATTGAATTATTACATAGGCCATAGTTGTATGTGCAACTGATAATGATGTAGGACTAAGGTGCCTGACAAATAATGAGTTATAAATCTTATAAATATCCATTTATATGATACAAATCTTAACTTTCTTCATTAAATTTTATCAATGATTTTACAAGAAAATCAGAATAAAAATTGTCCTTTTTATACATAAAAAATATTTTCATTTAAAATCTTTTTATTTAAAAATATTTGTTGCATTTTCATATTTAGGGTACCCTTCCTAGGCCAACAATAAAAAAAAATGATTTGTTTGATGTACTCTGACAGACCTGTTAAAATAGCCCCTACCCATTTGCATTCATTTCTTGGGGGCACTTAAAATTTTTTAACACCCCCCTTAATTTCCATAGATGTTAAAGATAAGGTATCATATTTTTATAGGATGCTTTTTAATTTATAAATACAAAGTCTTTGTAACTAAATGAAAACATTAACAGATTTCTGAGTCTGTGGTTTTAAATATGACAGTTATCAATTTATTCAATGCTGTAAGACATAAGAAAAAAAAACTAGAAATATGTCCACAGGACAGGAATGCCCGCCAAGGGTATATTAGTCATCCAAAATGAAAATTTGTATGAAATTGGATCAGAATATCTTGAAAAATGTTACAGTTGAATTGCTTACATCAGTATGTATCAGCATATGAAGTTTGACACGAATTTCAGAGATGTGAGGTCAAGGTCAAATAAAAGGTCAACGTCATGTTGATGCAGTTGAATTGCTTACATCAGAATGTATCACCATATGAAGTTTGACACTAACTTAGGAAAATTGAGGTCAAAGTCAAAAGAAAGGCCAAGGACAAAAAATGTTTGTTTCAGTTGAAAAGTTCTCATCAGTATGGTAAATTTGATACAGTAAATCTCGTTTCGTACGAACACGAATATTGCAAATTCATGGGTATAGCGAAGTCATCTTGGATTCCCTTGAGTTATAAAATTTCAATGAATTTCTTATACGATTATAATGAATTATGGATATAGCGAAGTAATTTCATAGGTCCCAGCAACTTTGTTATAACCGAGTTTTGCTGTAACACCATCTTGAATGGTATGTTTAAAACTAAGTTAAACACTAATTTAAGAAAAGTGAGGTCAAGGTCAAAGGAAAGGTCAAGGACAGAAAATGTTGATGCAGTTGCATAGCTCTTATCAATATCTATCAGCAAAGTTTGATGAAATATCCTGTATAGTTTCTTTGAAACTGGGCTTTGAACTGAGCTAAACGCAAAGTGTGACGCATGGACAGAAAGACAGAAGACAGACATGACAAACACTATATGCCCAGGCCATAATCATGGTGGGGCATAAAAAAACTACCGGTACCTACCAACCTACCTGCCAACCTTGATAAAAGTGGGTAGGAGTACATCAAACAAATATATTTTTAAAGCTGGCCAGTTGTTGACTAGTATATTAGTCATTTTGATATGCTATGTCTTATAAAAAATAAATTTTATATTTGTCTTAGAACTTATTTGTTGCATCAATTTCATACCTGTATTTGCATTGTTTTGGATGCTGATAATTCAAAGTCATGATCAGACTGCAATTTGTCCTTAGGTGCTGCTGACTTTGGATCTCTTAGGAATTGCATCTTTTATCTGTGTTACTGGTTCTCTTGTACCTCTGCTATAAATAAGTTTTAGTGTATACAGTTGTGTAATATCAGTGAATAAATTGAACAGACAGATTGATTGTTTATTGTTTATCGTTCCTCTCAAGTATTTTTCACTCATATGGAAACGACAGTGGAGAGCTGCAAATTTTGTCCTAATGACCTATACTCAGCACTCAGGGCCATTGACTGATTGAGCAGGAAGGGATCTTTTTTGTGCCAACACCTGACCTACTGCAACAAGGGGCCACAGTTATACTGTATCATCCCAAGGACAGGTCTCCACATCCCACAGTGGGATTCAAACTCATGATGTAAGGATCAACACCTTATTTCGCGACTCTACTAGAGCAGACACTCTAACCACTGTGCCATGCAGGCGAATTTGAACAGACAGAAAAATTTACCAAAATCCATAAACCATGTTCTATACACAGGGAACATACTCTCTAAAGTGAGAAATATGGTCATCTAAATTTTATTTTATGCAGAGAGATGGCAAAATATATGAACATCTTATCCTTGTGAAATAGATCTAAATTGCTACAAACATTTAATGCTCAAAAAATTAATCCACTAATACAAAGCAGGTTAAAATTTACTGAAAAACAAGATGTGATTGTGAAACACTGATGCCCCCGTACGGCAATTTAGCCACAGTTAAGCTTTCTCAAATGCAAATCAAATATGTTAATTGGTACCAAAGTAAGGTCTTTTCACAAGAAATGAGAAATGTAAACACTAACTACACCTGCTCCAGGGTTATGACCAATGTTAACATCTTAAAAGACAAATTCCGGGTCAAGGTCAAAGGGTCAAGGTTGTTGTGTTCTAAAGAAAGGCCTTGTCTCAAAGATTACGTATGGGAAGTATGAAAGCACTGGCCCTTACCGTTCAAAAGTTATGGCCAAGGTTAAAGTTTGTAAAAAGTAGGTCAAACTTTAAGGTCAAGGTCAAAGGGTCAAGATTCTTGATATCCAATGAAAGGTATTGTCACAAGGATTACACATGTGAAATATGAAAGCTAGCCCCAACTATTCAGAAGTTATGGTCAAGGTTAAAGTTTGTAAAAAGTAGGTCAAACACCAAGGTCAAGGTCAGATGGTCAAGGTTCTTGAAATCAAATGAAAGGTCTTGTCACAAGGATTAAATTTGTGAAGTATGAATGCCCTAGTCATAACCCTTAAAAAATTTCTGTCAATGTTGTATTTTTAAAGTGGGTCAAACTCCAAGGTCAAGGTCAAAAAGTCAAATTTGGTGGTACCCATATAAAGGTCTTTACACAAGGAATATTCATATGAAATATGAAAGTCATAGCTCCACTAAATCAAAAGTTATGGGCAAGGTGAAAGTTTTTGCAGACAAACAGAGAGACAGACAGACAGACAGACGGACACGACAAAAACTAATTACCCCCGAAACTTCGTTTATGGGGGCATAAAAAGTATATTAAAAAAGTACCCAAACAAAAGTGATGCAGCCACAATATCATAAATATGACGTTGGTTCCCATCAATGACAAAACTCCTCCTCTATAATCAGCTGATGAATAACATCTCGGATTCAAGAGAAATCTGTTAACAAATTAAGGCAAAAGATAATTTTGAAACTATTTCATTCGGTTAAGAATAAAACACTTCATTTTCCCTCAAAATAAACAAGAAACGGATGACACTCTCTGATTTGTTTACCTGTATTTCGATCGAAATATTCCTGGTGGACGCTCGCACCCAATTTCTTATGACATGAAATTCATACATCGTAAGTCGGACAACCCTTCGGCTTTGTAAAACTATTTAATTTCCCCCTGAAAGCTGTGTGTAAACCAGAAACATGCTGAACTCAACACACATTCACCATGACCATGTGCGAGGAAGTGAAAATTATCGTAAAATCTCGCGAGTCACGTGACGAGACTTACAGACTCTGGACCGAATTTTCTCAGCTTTTGAAATAATGAATAAAAAGTTCACTTCCGGTAAAGGGAGAAGTCATTTCAAATGGAATTTAAATAAACATAATGAAGAGAGATATCTCTTTGCAATAAAGAGATATCTCTTTTTGCTTCAGAGATATCTCTTTTAGACCCTTTTGAAAGATATCTCTTTCACTTTGAGAGATATCTCTTAAGATAAACCTAGAGAGATATCTCTTTTACTTAAAGAGATATCTCTTTAACTTGGAAAGATATCTCTCTAAGTGATAGAGATATCTCTCTAGGTGAAAGAGATATCTCTCTAGTTGAAAGAGATATCTCTCTAACGATCAGAGATATCTCTTTAACGTTTAAAGATATCTCATCACGAAAGAGATATCTCTCAAGGAGAAAGAGATATCTCTCAAAGAAAAAGAGATATCTCTCTAAGTATAAGAGATATCTCTCTAACTTTAAGAGATATCACTTTCTTATGGAGATATCTCTTTAGAATAAGAGATATCTATTTAAGTTGAGAGATATCTCTTATTTTTAAGAGATATCTTTCTAAAATGAGAGATATCTCTGTAATTTTCAGATGAAATTTATTTTCCGAATAAATAGTAAAAGGGCTTGCCATAGTTACAGTATTTGAAAAGCTGTTCTTTTTTCATGCGTTTTTTGAGAAGCTGAAAATGTATGACATGTATCCATTGTTGAAAAAACTGCACATTTCAGAAAACAGTATGGCTGAAAATAGTCAATCTAGGCTTTGAGTAGGAAAATAAGCTAACCTGGTATAGCTAATTCAGCCACAGAATTTAGTCAATTTTAAGATGCACAACCTTTTCAACTCTCATAATAATTATTTTTAAAATATTTACTAGCATATCATTTCATTTCTGATGCAAATGAGAACAAGAGATAAGACCAGAAGTATATATTTAGATTAAAAAAATGTACATGTATACTTTTATGGTTTTTTCAGCAATTATATTTGTTTATTTGTTTTGAAAACATCTCTCTAGCTCGGAATTTTTTCACTCAAAAAGCACCAATTAAAAATAATGAAGACAAGATGTGTTTGTGAATTTAAGTTTCTCAAATATAAGTCAAATTTCAAGGTCAACGTCAAATGCTTAAGGTTGTTGGTATCAAAAAGAAATCTTGTCAAAAGGAATTCACATGTGAAATAAGAAATCCCTAGTACTTCCTGTTCAAAAGTCATTGCCAAGGTTAATTTTTTTAAGTGGGTCAAACTCTAGGGTCTATGTCAAAAATGTTTATACCTGTTGAAAAAGTTCACAATGAATACATATGTAAAACATGAAAGCCCTAGCACTGACTGTTCAGAACTTAGACCAAGTTTAAAGTTTGTTATTTTTCTTGTAAAAGTAGGTTAAACTGCAAGGTCAAGAAATCAAGAGGTCAAAATTGGTGGTACTCAAATAAAAGGTCTGGTCACAAGGAATTTACCTATTAAATGTGGAAGCCACTTAAAACTTATGGGCAAGTTTAAAGTTTCTGCGGACATACAAACAGACAAATAGACGACATAATATATACAAGAAACAAAACATGTAGTCAAATGGAAAAATTTTCTACTATTTTGGAGTCACAAGATCAATTGTCATTTCAGGGACAGGGAGTGGCTAGGGAGATCGGACACCCCCTCCTTGGAATTTGCAGAGTTATTTAAATAGGACTATATACTGAAGCAAATAAAAATGACTTTGGACATCCCCCCTTTGAAAACAAGAACCCCACCATCATTGTTTTTATTTTTTTTCTTTGCTTCTCAGGAAATTTGGGGCTGGAAATTGTTTGACTTAGGTGTGACCCCCCTCCCCCAAATATGTAATATTCGTCTACTGTGGCATGCTATGATCTTAGACCCCTTTTGAACTATAACCTACCCAATTGCATTTCGGTTCACCCCAATCTGCACTAAAACTTGTGCTTACCGACTGCATAGGCGTCGGAACTTTTTTTGCAAAGATAGACATTAAATAGGCATTGGAAATTGGGGTTTACTTTTTTGTTGGTTTACCCCCCCCCCCCCCCTTTAAAATTGCTTCCGACGGCTATGGACTGTCATAGGTCCTGTCAACTTCATGAAATATAATCCAATTAAAACACAAAATGAATTATTTCAACTGATATACACACTGCGCCATCAGCATGTGCTATCTCATTCGGCAACCCTTGGCTGATTCCGTCGCCTTCATCAGATGAAGTACGAATCGGCCGAGGTTTGCCAAGTGGTGCGATCTAGAAATATGATAATGGGTGACGCAAACCCAATATGATGTAGAAATTTTCAAAAAGGTTGTCACATGTAAACATATATAGTGCATTAACAAAATAATTTTAAATTATCATAGCAAATGATTTTTTAACATAACTTTATTTACCAGCTAGGCCTATTAAAAAAATGTGTATGTGAGAGTGTGTTTGTGTGTGTGTGTGGGGGGGGGGGGGGGGGATGGGCATTGACAAATTTATTGGGTTGGATTTTCAAGGTTTTATTTTTGCCTGATCAAATACTTAATTCAATTCTGTTATTTCAGACTGGTAATGGATTAAGTATATGAAATACATATAAGAGGCTCATAGGTCACCTGAGAACTTTTATGCTCAATTTGACGAATACATGCACTGAGTAAATTATAGAATTATTTTGACTTTTTCCTTGGAAAGCCCTATATGAAGGAGTGTGTATTTAGAGGCAAAGACCTTAGTGCGAGTATTACTGTCTCATGACATCATCTAGTTTTTATTTGTTAAACCCTAATTTATCTTATGTAGGTGCATTGCATCATTTCAATTAAGATGGATGAGTGGGCAGAAAATAAAGATTACTACCTTAATGTAAACACTTAATAAGAATAAACGACTTAAAATCCAAACCCATTGTAACGAGTGTAACCCCCCCCCCCCTTATGCTTTTTATTTTTACAATAATGTTATATGACGCAGTGTAGCTTATTGTTTCATCCATGACAGCGGTTACTTAACCATACTACTATCAATGACTGTAATATTTTGCTATTTTTGTATGTACTTGGAGCGGGTTGATTTTTCTATCGAATAGAGTCAATGACTGTAATATAATATTGTACATTGTGGTGATTTGGAGCGGGTTGATATAGTTTTCATACACCCTGTGCTTATAATCAGTTAAGATAATAAGATGTAAACAGCTTGTTTTTGAATTATATGTTTGTGTTATGACATGATGTAGAAGTCTAGAGTACGAGTTATTGTGTATCAGTATACGTAAACAATGTCGAGGAAATTCGGACTGTGCATGGATTCTATTTTATCTTTTGTTTCGCCTTGATTGTTGGTATGAATGATATTATTTTGTTGTACTTAGTGTTTTGTTACGTTTAATCTAAGTTATTTAATGTTACCTTTGTTATTTGGCCTGAATGCGAAGTGTATGTGCAGCCACATGTTTTTCTGTCTGCTCGCTTCCGGTTAGCTCACTGTTAATGTAGTCGATAAATGTACGCTCGAATGTTGATTGTTTGATGTGGTCAATAGTTGGATTAACATTGTGTACGATTGAAATTAATGACTGAAAGTTGTTTAATACGTATGATATCCAATGATTTAGTTATTATCTTGGTTTATATTGTACTATGTACGGAGAATTGTAGAATTGGAAGATGTTGAATATTGATAAGTTTATCACTTATTTACAGTGATTTCTTGTATCACACGTTAGGTGGCATTTTTCCAAAAGCGATTTTTTTGTGTTATCCTATCACGTGTCACGATTTTTATCACATGATTATTATCGATATTGCCGCGATATTTGACTGTATATAATTATATGTTATTGAATAAATTAATAAATGAATTACATTTTTGAAACGTTAATAAATCTTGATTATATATTGAGTTCATGGATTCTGCACAGGACTGATGGAATTGACATTGATTATATTGAGCACAATTTTTATATCTTACAACTTTAAAGTACTGCTGCGCTACTCAAGAGCTTATTAGGTTAGCTATAAATTACTGCTATCCCTGAGCGTTACACTCATAAATCTTCTAATGTGGCTTGGGGAGAAGGGGAAGATATTTTTTCTCAACAAATGAAAATTTCTCTACTTTGATAACGAAGTATAAGATCAAATTGCAGCATATAGTTCCTCATTGATTACATTAGAAGCAAATAATTTATCGCAGAGAAGGGGGATTTGCCACTTCTCTCCTTCGATACTATACGCCTCTTATAACTGCTGCTATCTTTTGAATGAGTCGCCTCATGGCGCAGTGGTTAGAGCGTCTGCTCTTAGAGTCGCGGTGTAAGGAGCTGATTCTTAAGTTGCAAATTGGAATCCACTGCAGGACGTGGAGACCAATCCTTCGGATGAGACCGTATAAACGTTAATAATCATAACATAATCACGTAATCGTCCTATATAATATAAAAAGTTCCGTGTTGCAGTAGGTGTTGGCACGAAAAAGATCCCTCATTGCATAATGGTATACATTTGAAGCAGTAGTGTCTCCACATGAACGAAAAATTCTCGAAGGGGGGGGGGAGCGTTAAACCAAACAAAAAACAAACTTTTGAATAACAACTTACTTAGAGTCACGATTGTGAGCTTTTCTCCAAACAACATAAAACATAATAAGTAATAGGAGAAGAAGTAGGATATTTATCGCCAAACTGAAAAGAAAGGGCACGTTGCTCATGCAGAGACTGTCTTCCTCTGGGCTGATTGCTGTTGAAATGAAGGCCAGGGTGTCTTCCTCTGGGCTGATTGCTGTTGAAATGAAGGGTGTTTTCTGTTTTCATAATATCGTAGACAAATGTGGAATTCTGTGTTGATATCTCATCTACAAAAGAAAATCTTGATATCTATATATCGACTCGATAGAACCCAGTGCACGTGAGCTTGAAATAAAAGTTAAAGGTTGAATAAGGGTGATTTGTTCTCCATAATACCTGTGCCTACATTTGATATTCTTAGAGGCCCACATTGCTTTGCTGACAATTTGTTTTGTTTCTTACGACTTAAGGATGATCACTTTGACAGTTATCTGCGTATTGATTATACAGTTGTGGAATGAAACAATTTTGACTGCATGTACACGAAAAATGGAATTTAAAGAAACACGTTTTTTTAATATTTATACTTCATTTGACATCATGATAATTAATATTCTTGCAAACATTGAGCAAATTAATAAACTATTATACATATAGGTTGACCAATATTAAAATATGTCTAGATTAAAAATAACCAAGGATGTGAATAGGACAATGACCAATGTAATCTGTTTTTAAACGAGAAAATACATTTTCCACTGTATTTTACAACGTACAAAACCAATTTTACATGCCTAGAAACACAAAAAGTTCCCCGTCACAACAATTTCTGACATCGTTGGTTGCTACTGATTTGTTTTCGTTACAATGCGCTGTTATCGGGTATCGTTGATCAACAAAAATGAGACAGAATGCTGTGCTTATCTTTGAAATCTTCCAAGCCTTTGATGCAATAAGAAATATCTTACGACAACAGTTAGGACGGGAACAACTTACCCTCTCATAAGGTAACATGGTTTTCCTGAATAAGAACAAGAATTATTTCTTCAACAAACCGTTTTCTATAGATCATTCAATTTTCGCGACAAATTTTTTCACGAGAAAGACATAAACACTTTGTAAGCGAGACCAACTTTTCACGATTATGTTTACTTATTGACCCTTCATTACTTTTTAGACACATTACATTTACATTTAGTCTATACAAACAGATTTCTCTAGCTTTACTGTCTAATTTACTAGAACTAGTATTAAAAACTCCTTTAAGATAATTACTTTTTTTCCTCTATTTACTTTTTATTTGCGATATCGTCGGAAACTCTTACATACATAAAAATGACAGGCAGACACACAGACAAGCGAAGTGAAACTGTGTTTTGAATATATCGATAAAATCTTCCAGATATCTTTATACTTTCTGATTCAAAATACTCATCAAAATAGTTAAATAAAGTTCATTAAATTTAAATCAAGCATAATAATTTAAATCAGTATTCAAAACCTGCATTAAATTTTCTCCTCCCTTACCCTTTCATTCTCTAGTCAAAAATTTCTTTGGTTTGTTTTTCTTTTCTTTTTCTGAGATATTTGACTAAACATATAATACGAAGTGTAGATTACTTCAAACACCCTATGTATAAAAGTGATCTGGAAGTAATCTATTTTAACCTTTTCCTGGATGAATCAGATAATAATGTAGAAAGTGTTATGTCACACATTTGTACCACTCATATTTTTTAACATAGAGTAGTAAAACACCAAGTAAAGTACTGTTAAGTAGGGTGTTTTTAGGTAGAACAACTATTGTGAGAAGGTCTGGACACCAGATTACAATATTTTTTTCATCAATGTGCAGTAAATATTACTTAGTAGACCTTTTGAAAGAAAGGAGGATATGGAGATAACGAACAGTATTCAATCTCAAAGTCCATTAAACAATACAAAATAGGAGCAGAGCAAACACAGACCTCCGAAACATCAGAGGTGGGATCAGGTGCCATAGAGGAGTGAGCAGCCCCTGCTGACCGGTCACACCCGCCGTGTGCTCCTTGTCATGATCAGGAAATACTAGTAACGAGAAATCCGTCGTCAATTCAGTGTCTAAATAATGGACTAACAATAAATATGGAAATCGTCAGTCAGCATTTGACTCAATGATAAATTGTATTTGTTGACAAGGTCATTGTATCGACCACAGAACTTACGAAATGATGACTTTAAACAAGACTGCTGATATTCTTGTTTCATCAACTTGCTTGTCAATATCTCTCAGGTTTTGCCAACCTTCATAGACACGCCTTTTAAAAATGATATACAATAATTTTCCTCATTTATATTGTCCCCTCAGTTGATTTAAATAATATGGATATTTCTTATTTCATTTTCAATTCAATTTTGAATTACAGAGAATAACATGTTAGTTATTTTGTGTTTGACGTATAGTGTTCAGTACTTTTTACTTTTTATTTGTTCATGTCGATGCTTGTTTTGTTTGTAACTGTCAACTTCACACTACTACATCATCTCACTAGTACTTACATTTTCTAAGGAAGACTTCTAATTAGTACCAAACAAATGATTTTTTGATATATTTGCATTAACTTAAGTGCCGGTTTTTCTGGAATATTTTATGTAATGGCCTTGATATCCAGCGATTATGAAACCCCAACAAGAGTTTTATTAAAACATTTTAAAATACACAAAAAGCCATAATTGTATGATAAGAGCTTACAACAATTCCGGGTCATGCAATATGCTTTCAGGAAAAATATGTACATTTTGTATAATGTTTAAGCAGCTAATGCTTTTTTCATGCTGTTTTTTTTTATGGTGACACCCCCACCTCCAAGGATAAACACTGCGTTAGGCCCGTCTTCTGTCTATGTCTCTTCCACTTTGATCCTCGAAAAAATAGTTCACTTTTTAGTTTTGGTAGTGATTGGATAAAGTTTAACTTTAACGGGTCGATTGTCGTTCTTGAGATTTTTTATCTGATATATTTCCGTAGGCAGCTAGTAACAAGCCTAATTAATAGTCATATAATCTAGAAGCAGCTTCTCAGATAATCAGACATTCTAGAGATGCTTAATTTACTCCAGGAAATAATTACATGTATTGTCTTACTTTTTATTTGAATCAAAAATGGTTTTTCAAATAATTATAAAATTGCTGTACAAATTTCCCAATGCAAATCCATGTCTTCCTGATTTAACTCCATATGGTAATCAGTAATGTACAGTAAACACAAATCCTGATGAAATCAAAATATAGTTTCTAATCATCTTGTCAAAGCTCCCTTAACAATTATACATGTAACTTGCTCCTGGCAACAAATCCTACCTCTATATCAGTGACGGATCCAGAAATCTTGAAAAAAAATGTGGTTGATCAGTTTGGGATCAGAGAAGGGACCCACAGCAACACTCCAAAAACGATTCATTAAATCTTGTGCATTTTGGACACAAAAGTGGCAGTTTAAGTCCCCCGGACTCCAATGGATATTTTTTAGGCTTATGCTTGCTTCTAATTTTTCCATGGACTTTTTTGCTTAAATAATAGGGTTTGTTTGTTTAAATTTCATTCCAGCATAAAGTAAAAATATCAACTTTGTTTACAAGGGTCATTTTAAGAAAAAATGTATTTTAGAAGAATTTTGTTTCAACTCTTCTTTTATAATTACTTTTATGTCTCACTGATCATTCTCAAAAATTAAACTCTTCAAAATAACATTTCGATCTTCAATAACATATACATCCCCGTCTATAAAGATAAGTTTAGTCTATCCTCCGTATACTGGATTCCTGAACTTCAAAAAAAAAACTTGCAAAAAATATTGATTTGTTTAGCAAGTGCTCCACCAAGCCCCTTTACTCCAAAGTACATGTATATCCATGAAGTGACTCAAATGAAATGTGGATTCTAAAAAAAACTCCAGAGAATCTTTTTTTCAGAATTGATAGATTGAATTGTTTTCTCTAAAGTGTCATTAATCGTTGACTCCATAGAGGATCATGGATAGATTTCATGGATATCTAATTTAAGAAGAACTTTTACTCATCAGCTGGAAAATATTATCTCCCTTTACTTTCGTAGGAAGAAAGTCTTAATAATTTCGTTTTAGTTTTTTTTAACCCTTTACATCCCAGTCAACGGCAATGAATTTGAATAACCGCATCTTAACTGATTTTAAAAACTAAATACTATATTGTGAAATTTTCAGTACAAACGAAGATACATTACTGAGTATTAAGTCCTTTTTCTTACTATTGTTAGTATTGTGAAGTAGAAACTACAGTCAATCATTACTTGAAATTATTTAATAAGTGGTGTATATTGAATAAGGATTCATAAATTCCACATTTTTTCAAAATATTTGGATTTACATATGTTTTACCCAAAATCAATGAATTTATTAAATATAACTTTACAATAAGTTACAGTCATTTCTCAATATTCATTGAATGCAACATTAAAGACAACTGCTTCTTTGATAGAATGGAAACTAGCAAATATTTTCCGCATAAAATGGTATTAAAAAGCTCTTTGATATTTATGTAGTCTTTGGTTGAGACCAGGTCTTTCGACAATCTTTTGAATATTCTACCTGTTTATTAGAACTTGCATTTTTGTTTTGTTTTCTTTTAAGGCAGAATTTCTTTAAAAATTTGTACAAGAGAGAAAGGAAAATTTCTGATTGCATTTTTCATATCGACAACGCTTATTATATTAACAATGGTTATTTTCATTTATAAGTTAAATCGATATATTCTAGTAAACATACCGGTAGTTATAAAATGCGCTAAAATTGTTATATGTTTTCCATAAGTGGATACTTTACTAATAACTTAAATTTATCTTTAACGGGAGTGGTAATGTCTGATTTTTTCATCTTCAGAGGGGAAGAATGGTCAAGAGGGAATGCTAGCCCTTTTAGGCACCTGATCCCACAACTGGTGTCTAGAGGCCTATGTTCACTTTTTCAACAAAAATATTTATGGCATTTATAACTTTCAAATATTTTTACAAATGTCAATATCAAAGTTTCATAACTTCTCAAAGCTCTCTATTTTTTTTTTTCATTGATATCTAAACTATGTCTAAATGATCATCAATAAAAGAATTAATTTTAATAGTTTGAAATCCAAAGCTTTTGAAATCAAGATTACAGAAATCTATAAGAAACATTTAGTGTACAATATCTCTGAAATTAATCTTATCTATCTTTCAAATTTGAAGCTTCGTTAAGAAAGGTTACGTTGAGAAGGGTTTTGTCTCGCTCAAAAAAGTCAGGCGATAACTTCACAGTATTGAGGAGTTTCGTTGGTTATTGAATGTCTTTGATTTTCGTTCCTCGGACGTGTTACTGGCTCTACGTATTCCGTTGCTGACCCAGTTCCTTCTAGAGGTACATCAAGCTGTGTATATACACGGTCACTTTGTCTTTGAACGTCTCCAGCGGTCACGTATCTAAAAAATAAAGGTACTTACACTTCGTTTTCAATATTTGTATTTTTCTTATTTTGAGTTTCTGTTTAAAATTTTATGGTGAACATTAGCGGTACAATTTTCGATAGTTTTTACGTGATTTAATGAGGTTCAAGACCCCCAGCGAAGAAAAGATGGTTTTTGTTTTCCTGATTTATAAAGTCTGAAAAATAAATGAAGGAAAAATTGAAATGATGAGTTCAAGGAGCAAGGAATTTAAGCATTAAAATTCCCTCTTCGTTAGTATGGGGACAACAGTTGATACAATGCCCCAAAAATTATTTACAGTTGATTTAATAGCTTGTGCGTAATTTTTCTGCAATTATTGCAAACGTTAATCCCTGCATTAACAAACAAAAAAAACTTTTACTTTTATTTATTTAGCAATATCATTTTTATAAAGTGGGTGAAGGTTCACATATAATATTGGTAAAAGAGTCTACCCCTAAAGAAATTATTTTAAGAATTTGGCTTTCAAATTGTTCTAACTAGTTAATTGTAGATAAAATGATAACTGCAATCCGTTTTCAAAACACATTAAGTAGAAAACCGTCTGAAGATGTGAATACTAGTTTATTTACATCGAAAATTTATCCGAGTTAAACTTGTAAGGAAATAATTTAAATAAAAGAAATATGTCCCTTGCGTAAATTGCAACTTTTTCCATGGATTATTCTCCAATAATTCACTTTCTTTATGATCATTTGTGCCAATTTATCAAAATTATTTTTTTTTAATTGTTTTATTTTTTGCAAATTTTATCTCTCAGATATGTTCGCAAAAAGGGAGCGTCACAACGTTTCTCCTTCGATACTACACGCCTCTTATAATTAAACTTATCTTTACTTTTGAATGAGTCGTTTCATTGAGCAGTGGTTAGAGCGTCTGCTCTGGAGTCGTGGAGTAATGAGCTGATCCTCACACTCCAAATTCTAATCCACTGCGGTACATTGAGATTAGTCCTTCGGAAGAGACTGATAAACTGAAGCTCGTGTCGCAGTAGGTGATGACACAAAAAAGGTCCCTCACTGCTTAGTGGCCCTGAGTGCTGAGTAAAGGTGCATGTTGTATAAATTTGAAGAAGGTGGTGGCATTTCCATATGAGCAAAAAATTCTCGAGGGGATGGGGGGGACCAACCAAACAAACAAACTTTTGAATAATAGCTTACTTAGGGTCACGATTGTGAGCTTTTCTCCAACCAACATAGAGCATAAAAAGCAATAGGACAAGAAGCAGGATATTAATCGTCAAACTGATAAAAAAAAAAACGACATGTTGCTCATGCAGAGACTGTCTTCCTCTTTGTTGGTTGAGATGATGTTGGTTGCTGTTGAAATGAAGGCTTAGGTGGTGTCTTCTGGTTTCTTAATATCGTAGACAAATGTGGAACTCTGTGTTGATATCTCATCTACAAAACAAAACTTTAAGATCTATATCGACTCGATATAACATAGTGAGCCTGAAATAAAACAAGGTCTAACAGATTACACCTGAATTGTCTGCGTATTCATACACATTTGTGGAGTAAAACAATTTTGACTGTGCTGTTATCAGAAATATTTTATGTACGACTTAATTGTCTATTTTGTGGAACTCTTTTGTGTTATTGTTTCCCTGTATTTCGCGGGTTTTCAACCTGCTCCTGTCCACTTGTTTTGCCATATTTTCATTATTTTTATTGATCCTGGTCAGCTCAAAATGTAAGTTTATTGATGTAAATTGTTTATCTAACAAAGATGTAATTTGCAAGATTTGTTTTTACTGGAGAAATATGAGTTTAATTGTACACAGTTTTCTATACATGTGACTTGATCTATGGCGGCCATTTTTGAACCTAATTTTGATTGATTTCTGTATATTTAATTGGTAAATCGGTAATTGTAATCATTTAAACCTAGTCTAAATTCTTTAAACTTTATTGTACAACTGAAATATGTTGAAATGGTTTTCCTTTGTATATCTTAATGTGATTTGAGATCAGTTCATATGTGCTATGTTTATACATGCATTCAGTGATTTTGTGTACATCAAGTTTTCTTGTATTTTGTAGCTTTTTACCATCGTCTTTACAAATCATCGCATCACATATCCATATCATCTACTTCATCAATAAATGATTAGAAATTTATATGTGCTGTAGTCCATGGTTAGCTCTACTGTTGATCCAACATTGACTGTATGTGCACAAAAGAGTTTAAAGAAACACGTTTTTCAATATTTATTCTTCATCTTACATCAATTATATTCTAGCAAACTTCGAGCAAATTGAACAAACTATGTTCCATTAAGGTTCAAAAATATTAAAATATGTCTAGATTAAAGATAACCAAGGATGTGAATAGGTCAATGACCCTTTAATGAAAAATATATTCTGTTGTTAAACAAGAAAATATCTTTTGCTCTATGTTTAACAACAAAACCAATGTTACATACCTAAAAACACATAAATTATCCCTTCACAACATTTCCTGACATCGTTGAATATTGCTATTGATTCGTTTTCGGTATTATTCACTGTTGTCGGGTACATTCGATCAGCAAAACAGAGACAGGATGATGTGCTTCTCTCTGAGATGTTTCTGGCCTTTGAAGTAAGAAGATATATATCACGACAACAGTTAGGACTGGAGCAACTTGCGTTCTCAAAAGCTAACATGGTTTGTCTGAAATAGAATTAAAATTGTTTCTTATACAAATCAATTATACTATTAGATCACTCAATTTTCGCGACAACTTTTTTTCACGAGAAAGACCATCTTGCTAGCCAAAGGTTTCCGATCCGATGTAGAGTAGGTATCGGATCAGAAACCCTTGGCTAGCGAAGATGGAGAAAGCATTAACACTTTGTTAGCAATAACAAATTTTTACGATTATGTTTACTTATTGAGCCTTCTTTATTTTTTAGACATTTACATTTAGTCGCTACAAAAATATGTCTCTAGCTTTTCTGTCATATTTACTTATTTTATCGCACTAGTATTAAAAAATCATTCAAGATAAGTACCTTTTCCACTGTTTTTTTTTTATTGAAACACAAAATTTCTAGATCTTGTCGGAAATGAAACTGTAATATACATAAAAAAAGACAGACAGACAAACAGACAAGCCTAAATAACCATCCCCCTTTCCGTGAAATCAGGGAACAAAAAGCAAAATAGATATGTAATGATACGATTTGGCTTAAGTGAAACTCTGTTTTGAAAATATCGATAAAATCTACCATATATGTATCTACTTTCTCATTCAAAATACTCATCAAAATAACAAAATAAAAGTTCATGAATTTAAATCAAACATATTTATTTAAATCAGTATACAATACCTGCATTCAAGACCTTTTTTTATTCTCTATAGTATTCACAGATTTCCTTTGTTTGTTTTTCTTTACTTTTTCTGAGATATCTGAAGTAAACAAAAAATACAAAGTGTAGTTTACTTCAAACACCCTACGTATATGTCGAGAGTCATCTATCTTAAACTTTTCCTGGAAAATGACATAATAATGTAGAAAGGGTTATTATTTCAAACAATTGTACAATTCATATTTTTCATCATAGAGTAGTAACACCACAAAGTAAATCACTGTGTTAAGTAGGATGCTTTAAGTAGAACTACTATTGTGGGAAGGTCTAGACACCAGATTACAATATTTATTTCATCAATGTGCAGGAAACGTTACTTAAAAGACCCTTTGAAAGAAAATAAGAAGTCCCATTCCTCTCAGTTGTTGTAAACCTTCATAGACACACTGAATAATATATAATAAATTTCCTCATATCTTTGTCCCCTCAGTTGATTTAAATAATTAGAATTTATTAGGATTTAGCTCATTTAAGTTAAATCGATTAATCAAAGCTAAATAGCGTTAATGTCACTTTGGGGGTTTGTCGGGTTTTTAGCCACCCGTAGCTCATTAGCAGGGACAAGCGTGAAATGTGACGTCACGGCCACCCTGCAGTCTCCCTGCATATCCTTTTAGCATTCAGCACGTTGAAATTCACCCACCCAACCCTCCCATAAAAATGGCGTTACCTTAAAATAATAGGTTTTTCAGAGTACTTGAACTATAGGCTGTAATTATTTTCCAAGTGTCTTTTGCTGCTTCATTTCTATGTGTGTTTTTTTTTTTAGGTAAAACCCTACCATGAGAGCCAACCCTTCCGTCGCGGCTGCTGATCTCTAGAGTGAGCGGATATTCAGCTTACCAGTAGTTCTCACCTGGACTTTTCAATTAAATTCAATAATAATATAATATAATATAATATAATATAATATAATATAATAATATCCGGGTGTTCATCTGTTCCCAGGGTTCGCCTTGGAACTGTTTCCGTTTTTGTACTTGCAGTCATTATGAGTGCAGCCGTGGCCATTACCGCCAATAAACCATTATAAAAACTTGAAATATGTGTCGGTTTTCTTCTTATGTTGAACTTGATATTGCACCCTATTAAGCAAGTTTTGTCTTTAATTAATCTCCATTTTCATTTTCAATTCAATTTTGAGATACAGAGAATGACATGTTACTTATTTTGTGTTTGACGTATTGTGTTCAGTACTTTTTACTTATTATTTGTTATATGTCGATGCTCGTTTTGTTTGTAACTGTCCACCTCACACCTACACTCCTACAGTATCATACTGCTTCTTAAATTCTAAAGCGGGAAGACCGCTAATTATGTACCAAACAAATGAATTTTTTTTTATATATTTGCATTAACCTAAGTGCCGTTTCTTGTGTAATATTTCATGCAATGGCCTTGATATCGAGCGATTACGAAAGCTCAACAAGAGTTTTATTAAAACATTTTAAAACACACAAAACCGTAATTATAGGATAAGAGCTTACAACAATTCTGCATGCAATGGTTTCAGGAAATTTATGTACATGTACATTTTTTGTGATGTTTAAGCTTTCTCTTGCTGTTTTATAATGGTGTCACTCCCAACTCCAATGATAAACACTGCGTTAGGCCCGTCTTTTGTTTATGTCTCTCCCACTTTGGTCCTCGAAAAAATAGTTCACTTTTTAGATTTGGTAGAGATTGGATAAATTTTAACGGGTTGATTGTTGTTTTTGATTTTTCAAATAATTTTAAAATTGCTGTACAAATTCTCCAATGTAAATTTATGTCTTCGTAATTTAACTATATGTTTTTTTAGGTTCTTTCTCAAACAGGGATGTACAGTAATCTGAACACAAGTCCCGATGAAATCAAAATATAGCTTATAATAATCTTGACAAAGATTCTTAAACAATTAAGACAATGATTCAAATACAAAAATCAGAAACAGCTGAAAACTTGCCCCATGGCAACTTATCCCTCCACCTATATCAGTGACGGATCCAGAAATCTTAAAAAAGGGGGATCGATCAGTTTTGGATCGGAGTAGGGAGCCACACCACACCCAAAAAACATTTATTAAATTGTGTGTGTATTTTGGACACAAAAGGGGCATTTTGAGTCCTCTGGTCCTCCTCTGAATCCAATGGATATATTATGAGTTTTATGCTTGCTCCCAATTCGTAAATTTGTCCATGGACTTTTTAGCCTAAATACTGGTGTTTGTTTGTTTAAATTTCATTCCAGGAGACAAAACATTTAAAGATATCAACTTACTTTACAGGGGTAATTAGAGGAATTAAGTTTTAATTTTTTTTATAAATGCTATTATCTCTCACAGATCAATCTAAAAAAAAATATGAACTCTTATATTAGACAAATTGGACATTACCCCTCCCGTTTATAAAATAAAGTAATTAGTAGTCGCCCCGTGGCGCAGTGGATAGAGCGTATTTAGAATAAAGGTAAAATTTGTGAGAGTGCAAGGATGTGTCAATCAAACCCATCCAAAAATTAAAAGTTTCAATAACTTTAAGATGAAACAAAATTTTTAATATACTAGTACTTTTATGCGATATGCTTTTTAAGTATATAAGTCATGATATTATACAGAAAATATTAACTTGAACAATGGTTATTTTCATTTATATGTTAAATCAATATATTCTAGTCAACAAAGACATAAAATGTATGAACATGACTAATTATTTGTTTGTTTGTGTGTTTAACGTCCCTCTGGAGAATTTTTCACTAATATGGAGACTCCACCACATATATATAGAGAGCTGTAAATTTTGTCCTATACTCGGAATTTAGGGCCATCGATTAGGGGAGATCTTTTTCGTCCCAGCACCAACTGCGACACGGGACCTCGGTTTATACGGTCTCATCCGAAGGACCGGTCTCCACGTCCCACAGTGAAATTCGAACCGGCGACGTAAGGATCAACTCCTTACTTCGCAACTTTAGAGCAGACGCTCTATCCACTCTATCCACGGGGGCGACTACTAATTACTTTATTTTATCATAAACGGGAAGGATGATGTCTAATTTTTCCTCTTCACAATGGAAAACATTGTCAAGTGCGAATGTTAGCTCTTTTATGGCACCTGATACCACATTCGGTGTGTCCAAAGGCCTATGTTTACCCCCCCCCCCCCCCCCCCCCCCCCCCGATTACACTTTTATTGACAAACATATTTATGGCATTATTGTGGCAATGCACTCTGAAAAAATTACGCACTTTGAAAAAAAATTTTCAAAGTGCGTTAAAATTGGGACAAAATCAACGCACTTTGAAATTTTATTTCAAAGTGCGTTAAGAGTGTACATATGCATTTTTTACCACGGGGAATTTTACGCATTTGAAAAAATATGCATAAAACAAAAAATTCTAGGCTTATATGTAAGTGATTGAGAAAATTAATTTGTAATAATTATATTTTTCGAAAAACTTTTGAATTTACATGTACTCATGTAACATCATAGAGAACAAGGAGAATTAGAGGGTCTCTCAGCTTAACTCTTTTTTTCTTATACATTGTACAAAGCCGTCGGTAGCAAATTGAAAGTGAGCCCCTTCCCCAAGGTAAGCCCAATTTTCAATGCCTATAATATGTATATCTTTGCAAGACATTTGAGTGTCCAATACCCCCTTCCGGTACCGATGCCTATGTTACACCCACATATATGTATTTGCATAACAAATATGACGTTGAAAACTTTCAATAAATTTTAGTTTACATAAAATCAAGCAAACTGGAAAAAATAATTACAGTAAAACATTTAAGAGAGAAAAGAATTTTCAAAGAATAGAAAAATCAAAATCGCTTACTTTCACATCCTGAAGTGACCGCATCACCGAAAAGTTATCAAAGGAATCAATAATTCATCATACCAAAGATTCGAAAGAATATTGACCAAGCACATTTTTTAAAAGTGCGTTAATATGGTCGATATTAACGCACTTTGAAAAGAAATATTATTTTTTCAAAGTGCGTTAATTTGGTCCCAAATTTAACGCACTTGGAAAATATTTTTCAAAGTGCGTAATTTTTCAAAGTGCATTGTAACATGGCACTTATAACTGTCAAATATTTTTATAATTGTTAAATTAAAAGTTTAATAAAATGTTACCTATTTTAATGGCCTAGATTTATATTAATATATTAAATACGAGGGCTGTTCAATAAATAATGTCCTGAACTCTATGACATACAACACCGATATCATATGCCATTAAGCTTGACTGTCTCTTATGATTGAATCTTTAATGAATTGATTTCAATTTATGTGACCACTTTTCATGTCATATTTTCATTGTGAGAAACTGGAAAACAAGTGCCAGGTAAATTTAGATGATAGCTCACTTGGTTTCTGACTACTTCCCATGTAAAACTGCGTTAGTGTCCACTTCCCATCTCATATTTTCATTGCGAAAAAATGCCAAACAAAGGCTATTAAAGAACTGTATCAAAAAGAATGGTAAAGAATCAGTAAACTAGAGTGAAATTAAACTTTTCATTTAAGCTGCTGTGAAACTTGATAAGAATCCAGAAAGAATATTAACTGAAATTTGAGAAATTAACAGCAACCAATGCCTGTTTTATAGACACATGAGCAGGTGCATTTCAATGAACAAAAATGATGTAGTGGGCATCAAAAATGGGCACCGTCTCTGGAGACAAGGACTTACAAGAAGCAATTTCTGTTTGCAAAAATTCAACAAATTATCACTTATGATGTTTGATTAACTTTAAAACACATAGCAAAAATAGGAATCAATTTGGGGTAGTTCACACTATTTTAAAGAAACATTTGACACTAAAACGCTATGTAATCACTGGTCACTCTATGTTTTAAAAAATGAATGAAAAAGACATCGTGTAAGAATATCTAAACAATTACCGGGTATTTTAAAAAATCAGAAATTGTAGTTATACACGTTTGTCTGAAATTCAAACAGATAATGAAAGTTGAATTTATTGCTTTATTACCCTCAAAACATTTTTACAGTAAGATGCACTTGACTAAAACAGCCTGAGGTCTGAAAAGAGCAAAGAATTAGAGGAGGACAAAGACAATTTTATATGCTTTTTAAAAAAAAATTAATGGTCTTGTCCAAACCCACACGCCATAAACAGTAAAGGAGTTTTGGGGATAAACAGAAAGGTAATATTTTGTCACACAATAATATTCACCAGATTGGTCACCCTTTGACTTGGTTCATTTTGCAAACTTGAAAAAACATCTTTCAGAAAGAGGGAACAATTCCAGAAAATCACAGGATCTGCCATTATCCAGTATCCGAGGGCCATACTCAAAAATGAGTTATAAAAACAATCAGAAATTGGATAGTAATGTTACGGACATGTTTTAATTCAAAGAGAATAATTAAGACTAAATTATTGAAAAGCGTCTTTTGCTTCTTTCCGAGCACCGAGGACATTATTTATTGAACAGCTCTCGTATGTCTAAATGATGATCAATAGAAGACTTATAATACCGTATAAGTGGAAATTTTAGCGAGACGCAAATTTAGCGATTTGTCCTTAAAATCTGGTAATTTATTTTTAGCGAGATGTTAATTTAGCGATTTCAAAATGCACATTAAAGTAGCCATTAGAAATAAAACGCAATTAATTTTTAGCGATATCTAATTTTAGCGATCTCGGCACCCTCGCTAAAAATGCCAAAATTAAATCCTCGCTAAAAATTCTATTTATACGGAAGTTTAAAATACAAACCATTTGAAAACAAGACAACAGAAATTTATTAGAAACATTTAGTGTACAATGTCTCTGCAGTTAATCTTATCTATCAAATTTGAAGCTTCGTTAAGAAAGGTTTCGTTGAAAAGGGTTTCTTCTCGCTGAAAAAAGTCAGGTGATAACTTCACAGTATTGAGGATATTCGCTGGTTATCGAATGTCTTTGATTTTGGTTTCTCGTCGGGGTTACTGGTTCTACGTATTCAGTTACTGGATCAGTTTCTTCTAGATGCACATCTAGCTGTGCATATACACTATCACTTTGTCTTTGCACGTCTCCAGCGGTCACGTATCTATAAAATAAAGGTACTTACACTTTTCAATATTTGCGCCCCTAATTTTTCGCGTTACTGCTTCAATAATATGGTGCACATTAGCAGTACAATTTTCTATTGTTTTAACTTTATTCTGTGAGGTCAAGACTCTGCTAAGAATGGATTTTTTTCTTTTCTTCAAAATGATGCTAACTTGCCAATTGTTAATGAATAGATAAAGCAATCCGTTTTTTATGAGACATAGAGGAAAAGAAGGTCGGTGGGTGTAAATATTGTACTGATTTAAAAAAAAAACTCAGGTGAAGTAAAAATAATTACATAAAAATCAAGGAATTCTGGCCCTTTCGTAAATTGCAACTCTTTTCATGGATTGTTCTCAAATCATTCACTCTTTCTTTATGGGTATTTGTGCCAATTTATCGAAATTCGTTTCTTTAATTGTTATGTTCGCAAATTGTATTCCTAGATCTTGTGTCATCAAATAATCTTAAAGCGCTTATACATAATTAATTGTTTGAAATAAATAAACTTCTTTTTTTCAAACTTTTAATTCTATATCCAAACTCAAATCTTCTAGATATGGGGAGAGGGGGATTTTTTCCTCAAGAAGTAAATATTTAGCTACATTAATTAGGAAAGATTTGACCAAATTGCCTCAGGTTGGGAAAGACCTTTCAATGAACATTTTCATAGTGGAGGCAAAAGATTATGTCAAAAATAAGAAAGACACCCTCCCCCTTCCCCACTTCCCATTTCCGAAAAAACACGCCTTCAATAACTGAAGTTATCTTTACTATTTGATGTTAACTTACTTAGGGCCACGAATGTGGGCTTTTCTCCGTTTGTGAGCTTTTCTCCAAGCAACTTAAAACATAGTAAGTAATAGGACAGAAAGTAGGATGTTTATCGTCAGACTGAAAAGAAAGGCCGTATTTCCAGTACAGAGGGCAGGTTCCTCTCTGTTGATTGCTGTTGAAATCAAGCCCCGAGTGGTCTCTACATCATAAATAAATGTGGGTTTCTCTGTTGGTATCTGATCTAGAAAAAAAAACCATTTTGACGTGTTATTATGAAATAAAATTTGATTCCCTCTTTTCGGTTACAGGTTAAGAAATTCAAATTAGCAACTGAGTATAAATTTCTAAGAATATTTAAAATTTTATTTTACTCATACTTTTTTTCTATATTTCATAAATCAATCAAATCAAACTTGTTCAGTTTGTATAATAAAAAGAAAATATGTTCTTACAAATGTTAGGTCCTTTAATTTACCTAAGTAAACAAACATTTCACCACCACAACACTGATCGGTGTATAACCTTGTTATTGATTGGTTTCTGTTGTAATATACGGTTGTCAAACTTAGATTCCCGCGCAAAACGGTACAGGAACTGCATTGTATGTATGTTACACTCCTGACGTCTTGTGAAGAGAGATGAATCTGGCGACAGCAGTTTGGGTAAGAGCAGGTAAAAGATTCATATCTCACCATTCTTTCTCTGCATTAAAAGTATTGATTGTTCCCATTTAATAAATCATTCACAGAAACAGGTAGAAAACACTCTCTTATGGTACCAGATCTCCTTTTTCGGTGAGACTCATCATATATATTTGCTTTGGCTGAGTATTTAAATCCTAGAAAACCTTTCTCAACAAATTAGTCTTATCTAAAATAAGTTTGACTGATTTTTGTTTGACTGCCATCTGAGAAATTTCACCCATGTTAAGACGTCTTCCTCTTCTTTGAAATGTCACAAATATAGAATTTGCTTAGGTACTGTAAGAACACTCCCAGTTTGTATTCAAAGATATATGATTCCAAGAAGATATACATGATTATAGTAAAATTAGGAAAACATATTACTCGTTTTCATGCTATGGATATAAAAGATATTTCCTTTATATCCCGTTTATTTTGTTGTAGTTGTCCAGAAAAAATAACCTTGGCTATGTGAACATGGAATATTATATTACAGCTCTACAACGTAACGACAAGACGACTTATGAAGTGCCTGGACGGCGGAAGATAAAAATGAATAGTTGCTTACCCAAGATTCCAGAAAAAGAGTTATGTATGAGAGTTGGGCATTTGTGTAAACCATTTATGAAAATTTGATAAGGTTCCTTAATTATCTAAGGAAGAAAAGGAAATACAATTTCAAGATGTTACATCCTTTGACATCTTGTAATTTGTGTCTCAGTCTGTTTATAATATTGTATTACAACAAGCTTAGTCTGTATTTCTTAACTGCAGCAAAAGGGTCCAAGAAACTGAACTTATCTGATTGCAAATGATCTCGCAGTGGAAAACGTTATACAATAGATGATAACAGAATAAAAAGAATACCCCGTATACTGAAACTCTTTAGGAACAAAAAAATTCCCTGTAACACCAGTCCTGCTTGTACCTCGGTATTTGATTATTAATAAGCAATCAATGTAATCCTTAAGAAAATAATGTAAAATTAGAGGTAAAAGTATTATTAAAAAATATCGATAAAAAAAGAAAAATGTTTACTTATTATAATGATCAAAGAATTTGCAAAATGTTGACTTTTAACGAAGAAGTTGAAAACCTATAACATCAACTTTTACTTTGTAAACGACCTAGGTTACGAATTAATTCTTCTTAGAGCATGCTGTTGCAAAGCAATTCAACACCCCATGCTAGTGTTCTGAATAAATATGATCATCACATTTGTCAATTAGTGAAAATGTTAGTAGGCTGCTTCATACATGTATAACGTAAATATAAAACATGATAAACTAGTGCTAATTGTAACGGGGACCGTTACAGATGTTCCCCAAACGCTCCCCAACGCCCATTTGGTGCCATATTCCCTGTAAGCTTCATTAAATAAGACAAACTCTATACATTTGAGACTTTAAAACGTTTACCCAAAAGTGTATCAAGTTCATTCAAATTTGAGCAATGCACGCGTGCGCATGTGAATGCATGTGCATTATGACCATATCATCTTGTCTACACAATATTAAAGTATTTAATCCAAAAGTATTAAAAAATACGCTCATTCAAGTGTATTTTTGATTTTACTCATTTCACGTGCACGCACATGCATACATGAGCATGGTGACCACACCTTCTTGTAGAGGTCCATTACATCTATCTATGTTCTAAATCCCATCCCGTTTGGTTGAAAACCAAGGGAGTTTTAGCTGTTTAAAGTTTCAGCCAATCAGATTGCAGCACACGTACACGCACGTGTATGCATGTGCATAGTGACCATACCTTCTTGTAGAAGTCCATTATATCTATCTATGTTCCAAATCCCATCCTGTTTGGTTGAAAACCAAGGGAGTTATAGCTATTTAAAGTTTAAGCCAATCAGATTGTAGCGCACGCGCATGCACGTGTTTTCATGATAATTGCTATATATCATGTTGTAGGATATCCTATTCCATGGCTATGTTCAAAATTTCAAAGGATTTCGTCAAAAAACAAGAAAGATATTGAGACTTTAGTTTCAGCCAATCAGAGCGAAGCGCACGTGCATGCGCGTGAGATCTTGCTATTTTGACCATGTCATATTGTCTACGCTACTAATATATCCTTATATTATGAGTTTCAAAGCATTTCATCAAAAAGGTAAAAAGTTACGCCTATATCAATTAAGGTCAAGATCTAGTAAATGAAAGGTGCCTACAGATTTATCAAATTTGAGAAATAAATTCCTTTATTGATGCTTTACAAATTTAGCTTGGTCAAATAGGTGTTTCGGGGCATAATTTGTAGGTAAACAAGATGAAAAACTGTATTTTGAACTGTCATTTTCAATGAAAAATTAAGAAAACCAGTCATAAATATGGAAGTTTTTTTCAAATTCGACAAAGGAAATGTATCCAGATTGCCTACAGTCTATCAGAAAACGGTAATTAGTTCGTTCATGGCCTTTTCTTTAAATCAGTATCAAATTTAATACAGGTATCCGGTTTACTTTTCATATGATTTGAAATTGAATGTCATGGAAATACCCTATTTTCTACACAATTCTACTAAAGCCGTAAAGTTCGGGAAAAAGAAAGTTGAAATTGATTATGACGTCATAATGAATCTAGCACCAAAAAGTTAGTCTAAAGTTATTTACTAGATCTTGACCTTAAATCGGTCATTTCACGTGTTGCACGTGCGCGCTCTTGCAAGCACGTGCGCGCAAAATGACCTTTGTTCCGCAAATCTACATAACATGTCTACTGACCCTAAAAAGGTTTTACCTAAGTCGGATGTGTAGTTTACAAGATCACTCCCGGACAAAAAAGTACCCAGGAAGAAGAAGAAAAATAACTAGTAGACTTATTGTTCAAAGAACAATAAGAGGTCTTTCCACCTTCTTTTAATTTCATTTTGTTTTAAAATTTAATTCCATGAATAAGAAACCAAAATTGTCTTAAAGGATAGAAAAAATTAAATTTTTTTTTAAAATGAAATGACCTTGACCTTTGACCTTGAAAAAATATTCAAGGTCAAAGGTCAAGGGTCACAATGCAATTGACCCCATGCTTCTACGACTTATATTTTTCAAGTGATAAGGTTAAATAGGAAGTACAAAGAAGTTAAAGGGCAATAACTCATATAAGCGGTCATCAGATCCTTTTGCACTTATACAGTGAAGTTAGGCCTAAAGACTCTAAGGACATTAGTGAAGGTTTAGTGTCTATACGGTCTACGGTTTCAGAGAAGTAGCGATAACAAGGTTTTTCGCACAAGGGGCAATAACTTTTAAAGGGATTATTGTTAGGGGACAAGAATGAAATCTTTGAAATAGTTTTAAGAGTACATATCAATGATGCATAGACATTAAGTATATGATAAAAGACAAAGCAGATATAAAAAGAGCCTAATTTCTCAGTTTTGGAATGACCTTAACCTTTGACCTTTACATGAATTTGAAGGTCAAAGGTCAATGAATCTTATGCAGTTGGTCCCATGTCTCTACGACTTGTCGTTTTGAAAATTTTTAATTAAAAGTAAAATTCAAAAAGTTTCAGGGGCAATAACTCATTGAAGGGGTCACCAAATACTTTCACAATGAATAGATTGAAAAGTCCCCTTAAATAGTCGAAGACATTGGTGAAGGTTTCATACCTCTACGGTTTACGGTTTCAGAGGAGTAGCGATAACAAGGTTTTTCGCACAAGGGGCAATAACTTTAAAAGGGATTATTGTTAGGGGACAAGAATGAAATCTTTGAAATAGTTTTAAGAGTACATATCAATGATGCATAGACATTAAGTATATGTTAAAAGACAACGGAGATATAAAAAAAGCTTAATTTCTCAGTTTTGGAATGACCTTGACCTTTAACCTTTACATGAATTTGAAGGTCAAAGGTCAATGAATCTTATGCAGTTGGTCCCATGTCTCTACGACTTGTCGTTTTGAAAATTTTTAATTAAAAGTAAAATTCAAAAAGTTTCAGGGGCAATAACTCATTGAAGGGGTCACCAAATACTTTCACAATGAAAAGATTGAAAAGTCCCCTTAAATATTCGAAGACATTGGTGAAGGTTTCATACCTCTACGGTTTACGGTTTCAGAGGAGTAGCGATAACAAGGTTTTTCGCACAAGGGGCAATAACTTTTAAAGGGATTATTGTTAGGGGACAAGAATGAAATCTTTGAAATAGTTTTAAGAGTACATATCAATGATGCATAGACATTAAGTATATGTTAAAAGACAACGGAGATATAAAAAGAGCTTAATTTCTCAGTTTTGGAATGACCTTGACCTTTGACCTTTACATGAATTTGAAGGTCAAAGGTCAATGAATCTTACGCAGTTGGTCCCATGTCTCTACGACTTGTCGTTTCAAATTTTTTTAATTAAAAGTAAAATTCAAAAAGTTTCAGGGGCAATAACTCATTGAAGGGGTCACCAAATACTTTCACAATGAATAGATTGAAAAGTCCCCTTAAATAGTCGAAGACATTGGTGAAGGTTTCATACCTCTACGGTTTACGGTTTCAGAGGAGTAGCGATAACAAGCATTTCTTGCGAAAGGGGCAATAACTCTGAAAGGGGTATTTGTTCACATTCGCAGGGTCAACTGCGAAAATTTTTTACGGAGTACATTCTTATGGATAAAAAATCTTTTCGATAAATCTTGAAACAAAAAATCACATGGCGGAAAAATAATAAAAAATAACTAGGAGACTTATTGTTCATAGAACAATAAGAGGTCTTTCCACCTTTTTAAATTTCTTATAGTTTTGTATTTTACACTCTAAATTTAATTTTAAGGGAAATGGCTTGAAAAAAAATGAAAATGTAAAAAATAAAATATTTTAAATGACCTTGACCTTTGACCTTGAAAAAAATTTCAAGGTCAAAGGTCAAGGGACACATTGCAATTAACCCCATGCTTCTACCACTTATAGTTTTCAAGATATAAGGTTTAATAGTAAGTTTAAAGAAGTTTAAGGGCAATAACTCATATAAGGGGTCATTTGATCCTTTAGTACTTATACAATGAAGGTGTGCCTAAAGACCCTTAAGACATAAGTGAAGGTTTCATGCCTCTACGGTCTACAGTTTTGAAGTAGTAGTGATAACAATGTTTTTCGCATAAGGGGCAATAACTTTTGATAGTGTCTATCTTGGGGAACAAGAATGAAATCTTTGAAATAGTTTTAAGTGTACATATCAATGATGCAAAGACTGATTGCATATGTTAAAAGACAAAGGATATATAAAAAGAGCTTAATTTCTCATTTTTACAATGACCTTGACCTTTGACCTTGACAAAATATTCAAGGTCAAAGGTCATGGGTCTCAATGCAGTTGGTCCCATGCTTCTACCACTTATAGTTTTCAAGATACAAGGTTTAATAGTAAGTATAAAGAAGTTAAAGGGCAATAACTCATACAAGGGGTCATCAGATTCTTTAGCACCTATACAGTTAAGTTAGGTCTAAAGACCCTTAAGACATTAGTGAAGGTTTGGTGTCTCTACGGTCTAAAGTTTCGGAGGAGTAGCGATAACAAGGTTTTTCACACAAGGGGCAATAACTTTTAAATGGGTTCATGTTAGGGGACAAGAATAAAATCTTTGAAACAGTTTTAAAAGTACATATTAATGATGCATAGACATTAAGTATATGTTAAAAGACAAAAGAGATATAAAAAGAGCTAAATTTCTCCGTTTTGGAATGACCTTGACCTTTGACCTTTAAATGAATTTTAAGGTCAAAGGTCAATGAATCTTATGCATTTGGTCCCATGTCTCTACGTCCTCTCGTTTTGAAAATTTTTAATTATTTGTAAAATTCTAAAACTTCCAGGGGCAATAACTTATTGAAGGTGTCAATGAATACTTTGGCAATTAATCAATGAAGTGTCTACTAAATTAGTCGAAGACATTAGTGAAGGTTTCATTTCTCTACGGTTTATGGTTTCGGGGGAGTAGCGATAACAAGCTTTTTTGCGAAAGGGGTAATAACTCCGAAAGGGGTCATAGTTTATATACGCAGGGTCAACTGCGAAAATCTTTTACGGAGTACATTCTTATGAATTGAAAATCTTTACGATAAATCTTGAAACTCAAAATCACACGGCGGAAAAATAATAAAAAATAATAAGAAAAAGGAAAAAAAGAAACAGAAGGAAATCAATAGGTCTTTCCACAGAAAGGTGGAAAGACCTAAAAAGGAAAAAAAGAAACAGAAGGAAATCAATAGGTCTTTCCACAGAAAGGTGGAAAGACCTAATAAAGAAAAAGGAAAAAAAGAAACAGAAGAATATCAATAGGTCTTTCCAGAGAAAGCTGGAAAGACCTAATGATGCATAGACATTAAGTATATGTTAAAAGACAAAAGAGATATAAAAAGAGCTTAATTTTCGATTTTTGGAATGACCTTGACCTTTGACCTTTACATGAATTGAAGGTCAAAGGTCAATGAATCTTATGCAGTTGGTCTCATGTCTCTACAACTTGTCATTTTGAAAATTTTTAATTATTTGTAATATTCAAAAAGTTTCAGGGGCAATAACTCATTGAAGGGGTCACCGAATGCTTTCGCAATGAATAGATTGAAGAGTCCCCATAATTAGGCAAGGCCATTGGTGAAGGTTTCGTACCTTTACGGTTTAGGGTTTCAGAGGAGTAGCGATAACAAGGGTTTTTAGCACAAGGGGCAACAACTTTTAAAAGTGTCAATCTTAGGGGCCAAGATTTATATCTTCTAAAGAGTTTCAAAAGTACATATTAAAGACATAAGATAGAATGTATATGTTTAAGGACATAAGAGCTATTAAGAGAAATTTATTTCTCATATTTGGAATGACCTTGACCTTTGACCTTGAAATGAATTTAAAGGCAAAAGGTCATTGAATGTTATGCAGTTGGTTTCATGTCTCTACGACTTTTCGTTCTGAAAATTTTTTATTTTTTGTAAAATTTATAAACTTTCAGGGGCAGTTACTCATTGAAGGGGTCAAAGAAAACTTTCGCAATGAATAGATTGAAAAGTCTCCTGAATTAGTTGAAGACAATGGTGAAGGTTTTATATCTCTACGGTTTACGGTTTCTGAGGAGTAGTGATAACAAGCTTAACAGTGAAAGGGCCAAAAACTGCGTAAGGGGTCTAAGTTAAAACATGGGGGGTCATTTTTCGAAATAACTTTAAATATCCAGTATCATGAACTATAAAGTTTTTCGATAAGTCTTACGGTGTCAAAACATAAGGTGAGAAATAAAATAAAAAACAGAAGCATTTCAAGAGGTCTTTCCACAGAAAGGTGGAAAGACCTAATAAGAAGAAGAAACAGAGTAAAAACAATATGTTCCCCAACTTCGTTTGGGGAACATAATTACTTAGATTTAGCAAAAACAAAATCACGTTTCTGTTCTTCCTTTTCTTTCAACTATTGACCTGCTGGACACATCATTATATACAAGACCTGAGAGCAATCATTTTATAAGGTTTCAAAATACAGTGAGCCTCGATCGTTCATTGTTGATGGTAAAATTTCATTTCAATTATTAGATCAAGTTTAGATTTCGTTCCGCTTCAATTAAGGCATAACCTTGGTTATATGAAAACAGAATTTATATAACTGTTTTGCAACTTACTGCCAGGCGACTTTCGAAGAATGAATAGTAGCTTACCCAAATTTCCAGAAAAAGTGTTATGTATGAGAATTAAGCATCTGTGTTAACCTTTTATGAAAGTATTGATAAGGTTCCTTTACTATCTAATGGAGAAAGGGAAATACAGTTCAAGATGTTACATCCTTTTGTGCCTCTGTCTATTTATATTTTAGAATTACAACAAACTTATTCTGTATTTTCTAACTGCAGCAAGAGGATCCAATATACTGAACTAAACTGAATAAAATGATCTGGCAGTGAAAAGGGTTATACAATATATATAAATGGTAGCAGATAATAGGATAAAATTAATCTATGGGTAATAAAATTATTGATATAAGTATTGTTAGAAAATATCGATCAAAAAGCAAAAAATGTTTACCGGTACTAATTACAATGACCAAAGAATTTGAAAAATGCTGTCTTTTAGCGAGAAAGTTGAAAACCCTGTAAAATCAACTTCTTTTTGTAACCTACCTAGGTTACGAATTAATCTTTTTGCGTACTAATTCAACACCATACGAGGGTTGTTAGAAAAGTTCGCGGACACATTGAATAACGGAAAGTCTATTGTGTACTGTGAAGAATGACCTATGTCTTAATAAATTCCTACATTTTGTTTATTAGTATGTAAAAATTCAGGTCCATTTACTAAAATCTTGAAAATTTACAACGATTTTTAGTATGATGTCATAGGATTCACGGAGCAATCCCTCGACGTAAGGCGACGTGACAACTAGGTTTCAAGCCGTTATGCCTTGTCGCAATTCTATAAATCTTTCCTTTTTTCATATTTTTCTTATCTTTTTTCTACTTTAAAATTGAATATCTATATCAAGACATGTTACCTTTCTGCTATAATGTCTTTTGTACTAATTCCGATTGCATTGATTCGGATATTTTTTAGATCTTTAAAAACGACTTTGCAGTAAATTGATCAGGTTTGAAAACTGCAAATCATATAGGCACAGCGTCCATGCGATAAGAGGGTATTGAAGTATCGATGGAGTTAATCATTCAAAATGTTAATCCTTACATTTATATGAAGTCACAATCATTTGAAAACTTTTGTCCTTTGTGTGTGTAGGAAATTTCCGGCAGCATCTTGAAAATTTTAATCTCTTTTTAGACATTTTACTGCCTACACACATAATTTGTACGTAGTGCAGTGCTCCATGACGCTCAATGACGTTCCGATTTTTGGCTGTGTTTTTACGTGTTGATCATTTATAAATGGCTATAAAACAGTCATATACCCTCCAATTTAATTCAAAATTTCTCCAAGTGACGTTTTATGAATACTTTAGCGATAGGTAAAATGTCATAAATCTCTTTGCGCCACAATTGTGCAATTTTTAATTTAAATCAAGAGTCTTTGTAATGTAAACGTGCCAAAATGGAGCATGCTCCGTGAAGCAAGATTTATCAAAATAAAAAAGCCGTATATTTTTCAATGATCACCGGGGAGCACCAAATTTTTGTATATTTATTGAAAAATAGGTTAAGATTTTATCTGGAAAGTTTGACCGGTTTCGTGGAAATAGCGCGCTCACAATAGAACTTGTCCGCGAACTTTTCTAACACCCCTCGTATGCTAGTGATCTGCATAAATAAGAGAATTATCATGATAGAAGAAAGTACAGGTATTTTTAGATGTCGTTATTTCTCATCGTAAACTCTTCCCACCCCTATGTCTTTGATTTAAGCATTTTTGGATGGTGATTATATATTGGCTTCTGGAACAATGTTATGCATAAAAATACAGAAACAGCTTGATCTATATATAGTATATAATTAAAACACTGTTTTAGAAATTAAAGAAATAAATACATGCGTTACAAAATCAATTTGTCAATTATCTTCACAATCATAAAGATTTATTTTTATTTCTAAATATTTCTCAAAACATCGTACTTTTTACATTCTAATACTAAAATATAACGAATAGAAAAGAGAAAAATAATATAATACGAAAAAATAACTATGACTTTTTCATGTAAACATTCATGTGATCTGAATGAATAGTGTAGAGTTTCTTTTGGTATAAGCATGTACTTATATCCCTATAACTAGATATTGATATGAAAAATATATACATAATTATATTCCAGATTGTGCCGTTCAAATGCCTAACAACTAGGTATGAAACAAGTCAGTCAAAATACGATCCAATGATAATGCCATAGAAATAACGAAATGTTGACTTTAAATGAAGTTGTTGAAATTATCTGTCATGCAGTGGCTTTCTTCTATTTAAAATTGATCGTACATGTGGCATGTTCTTTAATATCGAATATGTTTGGGATGTAAACACTATGTCAAGGTGATAGTAGGACATGACTTCTTTTAAAAATAAGGAAAAGTTGCCAATGAGTTGAAATCATACATGTAGATTTCATTTGTCTTAGAATTTTTATTTGGCCCTTATCCTCTATCAAAATATACATACAACACAGATGTGGTAGAATCTGACTCTAATTAATTACTCATAAAGGCAGATTCCTTGATGTCAGTATCATATTGATAAGTTCCTCAAAATAGTCCTCATCCATTCAAATGACAATATACTCCATCTAATTCACTGGTATGACTATAGGTATTTGTTGCATCAACTGAAGAAGAATCATGGGAATGAAGAGTATTATAAACACTATCCTGTGACTGTCTTTTTGTAATGAAATGATCATTCAAACTTTCCCTATGATGAGTCTCCTCAACAGTTTCAAAGGTATTGAGAATATAATTATATTCCACAGTGAAGTAATTATTTGGTTTCTTTTGAGCATGTATTTGTTGCGAACACTTCCGAGATAAACTTCCGTTTGATCCCTCCTCTTTCTCTAATACAAAGTAATTATCTGTCTGCATTGTTTGATTTCTGTTCCCGAGAGTTTCCGATAAATATGATTCACCAGATGCTGAAACCTCAACACTGCCTGGAAACTAAACCATTCAAAAGTTGAAAGTGCAAGATATACTTGTTTCATATTCTTTTAAATCTGTTCAAATTCGTGATTCACATAATCATTGTAAAATATATATGTGAGTATTATTATATCTACCCCTCTGCCGAGTCCTGATTTTACTTTCCTGAAAACGAAAATACTTATTTATACTATATATGAAAATTATTATCAAGAGAAAAAACGTAATACTTATGGGATAGTCCTCCCATAAAGAATATCGAATTTTAAATACTGATACCTATAATAACTACAGCGTAGGAAAACGGTGATACCGCTGATGAATAGCAAGCCCAAACAGACCAATAATATGGACAGTTCATTATACAGAGGATCGCGTGGTGTACCTGGGATCCCCAACACATCTCCAACGGTTGATCCTGTCCCTGCTGATGTTTCTGATGTCCGGTCCATCTTAAAAACGTTTTTTTAATTAAAAGAAAACATTCTTATAGATCTAGACACTGTCATAACTTTTTGGATTTAAGTATCAGATATATGTTTAAATTTCGTATTAAGCAAATGAGGGGCAATATGCAAACCATTTATCCTTGTGTTTTTTCTCTTATGTAATTAAAAAGTGGAAACAAATTAGATAGATTACACGATAAGTATGAACTGGTTCCAGCTGACTAAGCAGGTAATGAAATTTGTCTTTGTTTGTAAGGATCATTTTTTAAATTGTGTTTTAAAGGAACTTGGATTCAATTCTAGAAGTCGTAGCACAACTTTTTCCTATAGCTCCATTTCTGAGTAAAACAAAATCTTCAAAATCATATGCATGTGTCTGTTTATATATATTTTGAATATTTCTAACAATTAAAATAAAATTGAATATACCAAACCTATACTGGATTCCTAAACTTCAAAATATACTTATAAAAAAAATACATTTCGGGTTCCAGCTAATGTTCTACCAAGCCTTTCTTTACTCCTCATAAAACTAACAACAACAATGAAGGAGAATTAACTTAACATGTAGGAGTATAGCGATATATTTTAGACGTGATGTAAATCAGATGTTGATACTTAAAAAATTCCAAGGAACTTTTGGAAATTAAACTCGAAAAATTACTTACCGTGTCATTAGTCATTTACAAAATCATTTTGCCAATTGGTCTTCACCTCGACATTCATATATATCGGCGACGTTTTATCAATAAACAATATAGTTATTTCCACTTGTACGTCACAGTATTCTAGAAATAGAAGACATCCATATTTGGCCATTTTGCTTACTATAGATACTATAATGGCCAACTGAAAACTGATTTGTACGCAAAAAGAGTGGACTTCTCTATCGTCAACTTTTCTTCTTTATGTAATAATATTAGGGTATCATCTGCATATGGTGTTTATTTTCTTTCAACTTATTAGCTTTTTCAAATGCATGCTACGAGTATGATCAATTTGTAAGGTAGGCTACTCACACATAAGTTGATATTACTGGGACTTCAACAATATCGTTTAAGCTCAGCATTTTAAAAAAATCTATGGTCGTTATGATGTCCTTGTTAACAAAATATGAGTTAACACTGGGGCGAATTTGAATGTCTTGTACATACCATTGGTTAGATCTTTGGTTTTTTTTTAAATTTAATTTGTCTACGGAATGCTCCGTCTATATTGATTTTGTTTTCACTGACAATCGTGCAAAATAAGTCTTTCGCACACACAACATCAAATTTGATATTTGATGAAAATATCAAATTTGCAAAAATAAAGAAAGTTGTTTGGTAAAGGATAAGCTGCATGATTGTATTTCAAGGTTAGTTTTGCAAAGGATCATATGGGAAATGTTAGCATTTCTGGTATTTATCTAACGGCATCAAACAGCTTTAAAATCGGCAAATTTAAAAATAATAAGTCATTTTTGTATGTTATTAACTTACTTTTTCTTCCTTGATAATTCAATGTGATAGCTGATATGTTTATTTTTTCATCTTAATGTTTTTCTTAAAGATGTGCTTTGTTTTCCTTAAAACTAATGACTTGTTTATCTCAAGTGGCCAGGAAGTATGACCGTGTGTCAGTCTGTTGATTGTATGTCATGTCTATCGGGAACACCAGCTGACAAAATTCTGTGTATGAAGTGCTCTATTGAAGCAACAATGACAAATCAAAACATTTTTACTGATACGACTCATCTATATTATTGTATAATAAACTACAGCTTCATTTTAAAAATGCAGAACCTTCCTTAAATTAAGGTGTGAAGTGTCCTTCGTCCTCGGTGAATATTGTAATAGTTAAATCATTGTCTTGACCTCCAAGACATTATTTTGTGTATAATATTGCAAGTCTTTTATGATTTCAACCATGCCCCGGTAATGATTTTTGTGGGGTTTTTTTTTTTGGTTTTTTTTAATTAATGACCAATTATTTCTGATAGGATCAGCAGGACTTTATTATAATAAACAACAGGGATTTTAAATAGAATTAAATACTTTTTTCAATTCATCATTTTTACGCTTGAAAAATTTGCAGTTATTGTTTACGATTGTATATTTAAAAACTGTATATTTCAGCTTATGGTCTTAATTACACAAAAATTCTTCACTGCAATAATCATAGTCTTCAAATAACATATAACGTCTTCAAAATCTTTTTTTCTTTATGTTGTTTAGAAGTCATTTTCTATCATGTAACAATGTGAGATAGAATATTAATATTGATTCTTTTATTCTTTTAGAATCAAATAGTTTTTTCACATGATTTGACAACCTTTGTCCTGTGTGCCGGGTTGTGCAGGATTTTGTTGATGCTGTGTTTTGGGTTTTTTATGTGAATGTCCTCCCATTTGCTCTTTTATAAACGGCTCTCCGTTTTTCATTCGACAGATAAATTGATATTTTCTAGTTCCACTCGCTATCTTGTACATGTTGTCGTCCTCGTCATAGATAGTGAAGGAGGCATTCTTCCACACGCCGCTTCCCTCTTTCTGTAAAAAGTCGATGCAGGCTTGCAGTAGTCTTCGAAGTCCAGGTTTTTCCTCAGAACCTTCATGTCCAACATAGCGTATAATCATCTTTCCTAAACTTCTTTTGTTTATTTCGTCCACTTCGATAATTTCGTTTCGATACTGAAAAGAAAAGTTTATTTGATAAAAATTGCCTTATGCATATCTATTCTAAGAAGAGTCAGTATTATCATTTCAGTTGTTGAATTATTTATCGGACACATTCACCCTGTTTTACATCATTTATCATTAAATACCGGTTAATTAAGAGATTTCTCAATAAAAAAAAAAAAGACTGAGGTCATAGATACAATTTAGATTCATTTGCAAGCTGAAAAATTAAGTATGATTGTTAAGTTAAAATGATAAATAATATTAATTTTCTCTCGTGCATATGTAGATATGTCAAATTCAGCTTACATCAAATGTCATCCGATGGGTTCCGAGATTTTTAAGGATGTCCATTAGAGTTTGGTCTCCAGGTCTTGTCTAGATTCAAAAACTTGTTTTAAGTGATAAGAACGTTTAAAATTATTTGTAAGGCTTTACATTAAAACATTAAACCTACTATTAACTATAATTGTTGATTATTAATTAATTATATAATAACATTTGCTAAAAATTAAATGACACTCCGTAAAAAATACACCGTACGAGGGGTGGTTCATTTAAAACTGCTTTATCTTAAAAATAACGAAATTTCTCACTTACGGACATGACACCTTGAAGAATATTGGTAGCCATGGCAAGAAACTCGATTATATCTTCTCTCTCTTTCTCCTATTGCAAAAAACAGAATAGATATCGCTTGTAATTAAAACATTATCAAAGTCAAATATAAAATTTTATTTCTAATTTGTAAATACCCGAATACCGAGATTTATAATTTGTGGAACACATCGCCTCCAACTTGAATAAAATGCGGTTACAATGTAATAGGCAAACTAAAAATCATATTTCTTATTTTATCTATTTTACTCAAAGCACTGACTTCGTACCATTATGCAGTAATAAGACTATTTCAATAATACTTACTGTCATTTTAACATTAATGATTTGCTCTGGGGTAATCTGAAAGAAAGATAAACAAAGTCAGATTTATTATTCACGAAAGCTCGAATTGTTATATATCATATGATGCAAATTAATTAAGCTGAATTCAAGGTTATTTCCAACGCGTGTTGACTTTTTGTATAACATAATTTTCATAAATAATTAATAGAATTAGTTGGAGAATTTTTCCAACCCTCCATCACTCTTCATACTTCATGATTTGAAGAAATTTAGTCTATTTATATTTGTAATTTTTGTTCATCATGTTATTTATGCTTGTGCCATCTTACTTGCCATGTGGCAGTTTTTGTGTTTATGTTTATGTAGTTTTTATTTGTCAAAATATTTTTGCCAAACTGATGATTGTTTGGAACAGAAAAAATGCATTTGCCAATTTCTTTGTACTATGAAATAGATTTTAAATCTTTAATCATTGCATGATAAAACTGAACTTGATACAATAGCTTTAGTTCCATGGTCGTTTACTATCATATCCAACTGGCTATCTAAGAATACCAAAATGATGCATGTACATGTATAAATGTTGCAATATAATGTGTGCTTTGGATATGCAATTACTATTGGAATATATCTGTTTAACAATTCAGAAAACATTAAGTCAATACCAACATATATCAATAGGTTTAAATTGTAAACAGTACCTGAGTATTTGAGCGAAACATGGTCATCTTTTTATGAATACCACCAAGACGATTTTCTTTCACAGTCTAGGATGAAACAGTACATTTATATAATAACTTATCAATGTCAGATTGATTGACTGGATTTTCCTTATGGTTGCATTTTAACTATTTGAGAGTAAAATAACGTACCTTTAATTTATCCAAGTATTTTCTTTCGTGTTCTTCAGGACCCATCTGAATGATGCATACATGAACAATTTATTAAATATGCTCAGGACACAAAATTTGATGCTAACACTAATCAGGAAATTTTCATTAGTTTTCTGATGTATGTGAATTAATATTTATTACCAAAACATCTTACGGTAACTGATATCAAAGTGGAAACAATGATTATGAATGAGGAGGTTTAATATATCACTGAAGTGCATTCGATGACGTCATCTCTCATTGATTCATATTACGTGAGTTAAGTTATTTGTTAATGTACCTGTGTTTTTTTTTAATTAAAAAAGTTTTGACACCTATCTATTTTGTAATTTCAAAATGTCTGAAAGCTAAATTATAGATCAGAATCGATGACAGTTATTATTTGATACCTTTAAGTGACGAAATAATTCAAGAAAATCTCGATAGAGAAGTTCTTGAACATTTACTGTGTCTGTAGCTCCCACTAACACGTGCCTCGCAAGAAGTATTTCCTATAATGATTTCTTTGAATGAAATATATTTTTTAAATTTGTTTTGCAGAGGCAAACAAAGCGAAGCAATTATTTCTTTAACTGTAAATATGTAAATTTAAGAACAAGACACGAAAGATGAATATGAATTATTATTTACCTCAATAAAGGTGTTAAAACTCTCCATAATCTCAAAGAAAATATTTTGTTGTTGTTTGTCACATGCCTTTAATGAGTAATCATAGAAGAAATTGTAATTAGGATATGCAAGCACAATATCACAATATATATAAAAAAACACAATTAAGGATGAACGTTAAGAGAGAGAGAGAGAGAGAGAGATACCTGTAATGTCTGAACGAAGTTCATCGCATATATTTTGAAATTCTCCATCTGTTTGAAAAGAATAAAATGGAATGTCTTTTAAAACATTAATCGCCTTCAAAGCAAAAATGAATAATGGAGAGTAGTTTGCAAAGAACGATGAAATATTTTCTCAACTTAGAGCTACATTCCAGTAGCAGCTATTGTCATATTGTATAGTGTCTAGATATAGTTGAGTGCTTTCGTTTTAAAAAAAATGTTAGGAATTTTGTTTCTTAAGAGATCTCTAGGAAAGTACCTAACAGCTAGGAAGTGTATAACAGGTATGCATATTTTTAGTCTTTAAATCGTCCAATATGTTAAATAACCACGTGACAACGAACATTCTTTCCACGCCCACAAAGCTTCTAAAAAGCTCGATGTCGCAAGAGATTAAGCACCGTCCGTATGACAGGTTGTGCCACGTAAACAGTAAGCAACCATCGGTCCAAAGAAAAAAATGGTAATCCTTTTAAAGAAAATATCAAAGTTAAATTCAAACAAATATTCATTTGTTATAACTTTTTTCAGATCTTTTTTCAATCTGATTTTCAGTACTGCGAAGAAATCGACGATGAGGTCTTTCAAAGTGCAATCAGAAGAATCCCTGCAAGTGCAAGACGAAACAGCTGGATAACTTCTGCCTTATACGACATCAGAGATGACTTAAACAACACTTTGAGAGGATGTGCTGACAATGTCACTGTGGAAGTTCACATGGACGACTATCTCTATGAACCTATCACCATTCAAAGTGGTTCTGGGGGAAACAAATTAGCCGTCCATATAAGTGAATGGGGGAATGTCCAGTATCGCTGGATCAGACAAACCTGGGCAAGGCATTTCAGGAATGCTTATGAGACCGTACGGTCGATTGCCAGGAAAATAGTGTCCAGTGTTGGCTCGTTTTTTGGCAGGTTGTTTGGATCAAATAAAAGCATTGAAGGGCCATCTCGTGGCTATCTGACTTATTACTAATTCTCCTCGATTTTCAGGATTAAATTTCATAGGACGTCTTATACTTTTGAAATATTTTGTGATTAAACATGTTTATTTAGAATGAATAAAATATATTCAATATTCTCTATTTTTTATGTATATATTTCATTTTTTTTCTTGAGAAATATTCACTATTACTGTGAAATCACAGATTTTCGTAGGAGTTTGTTTGTTTCGAGGTAAAGAGAGACCTTCCAATGTATGACCACCACGAAATGTAACATTTCATATACATTACTTCTAAACATTCTCTAAGCACAAAAGCAAGTCCCCACAAACTATTTTTTTTCCTCAAACCTTGAAAATTTGACACCTGAAAAGTATGTGATTTACAGTAGTTTTAACGTGATCTTTTTCTGTACCTGACTATAAGAAACGGCTTTGTTCTGTGTATCTTATTAACGCGCATAAAACTCCCTATCTTCAAACAAAGTTACTGTCAAAGTCTGGAATACCCATTCTCATTAGTATAAAAAAGCAGATACTTTGCTACTTTATGTTTGAAAAAAGTTATAGATTATACAAAACAAACCCATTTCAAACACATTTTTGAAATATTATGTCGAAATAAAATTTGATGTAATCATATATATGCACTTTCCTTTTGATTCGATGTATCCATGTGTATTGAAAATATATATAAATCTAGCTTTTAATCTTATTTTGAGTTTGAAGAAGAATAGAATTTATATCCATCTTTCCATATATATTTGTTAGATCTCTTTATTTACCAAACTTTGAGAGAAAAAAGTCAGAAAGTCTGATAATTAATTAACAAATTCAAATTAAACTCTTCTTGAATATTTTTTTTCAGAATCTGATTTATACAAATAGTAGCAAAAAAAGAACGAGTGTAATGTACAACCGGCTTACCTTGTGTACTGTAAACGGTTCCTCTAGCGTACAAGATTTAATTGTTGAGAATTTGGGATACGTACTTGTTTGCACATGACATTTAATTTAAACCAATCGCTTTATTACAACGTGTTTATGTGTATTGAGAAATTAGTTGTATACTCGAAGATGGGGGTAGGTACATGTATTATAGTAATATGTAGAAAAGAATTATGTCTTACAATTGAAAAAAAAAATAATATATTAAAAAATATAATAATAATATCTTAACCTTATATTTCATATCAAAGGAAACTTTTGGCGAGATTACAGATGAAGAACTGAATGCGGCTTTTAATCGGGTTAAAGTCAAGGTTAATGGTTATGATGTTATGAGAGAAAGTTACTACGAAATTCGTGATGGGATTGGTGACATAGTCAAGACGTGCTCAACAAATGTGAAAGTTGTCATCTATGTGAATGATGTACTAGATAGTCCCATAACAGTGAAATCAGGAAATGCCGAAAACAGACTTAGAATTACAATCAAATCAGGCGGACGGGTGTCCTACAGTTGGACGAAGGAAACTTGGGGGAAAGTATTTAGAGATGCTTGGAATGGAATAAAGTCCCTTCTCCAAAGAATAATTACGTTTATTGCATCCAATGCAAGAACTCTTCTTGGACTTGGACAGGCGGCTTTGGCGGCAATCGGCTTTTAAAAATGTTTCTAAGGCGGATAATGATCTTTTTACATTTCAATCAAAAAAAAAATATTAATGTAATTTTTGAAAATCTGTACATGTATTATAATACATTGGATAATTGTAATATAAATTACCATTGTTTATTTACCTTTCAACATTAAAAGATTCCAGGACATCATTCATGCGTTACATAGTAATTTTATTTGGAAAATAAAACATTTTAAGGAGGGCTTCTTCTCATATTTCTTGTATTTAAAAATAAATGTTATTTTCGTAGATTTAAGAAGACAATGTCAATAAGTGATGGTATCAGTAAGATTGAATTTGACTGTTTTATATTAGAGGCAAGGTCGGGTAAAGGTCATTACCTTTTCCCTGGACATTAAGAATAAAAAATTACTTTTGCAAATCATGCAAAATCGATGCCTACTTTTTTTTTCAAAAGATTTAATGTTTTTCCTCTTGCATAAAAAGATATTACCATGTAGGGTCTATAATATGATGTTACCATACTGACATAAATAATTTAATAAAAATCGACAATGGCTAATCCGATTTTTTTCTATTTTTCTTAAATTTTTAGGATATATTATTTATCCCAACAAAACGTAATATTCCTATTAATTTAGCACGAAGAATCTGTACAATCATTACAGATACATGTAAATCCCTACGATGTAGACGTCTGGAAGAATAAAAATGCAGTAAATGTTTTGTGATATTTTTTTGGATTTTTACTTTTAAATATACCAAAAAAATGTACCGATTCTTCATTTTGTTTTGAAATCATTTATTTTATATATGCCTCATAAATATTCAAATTGTTCTTATTTTCACATATGATAAAGTAGTCATATGAAGATACAAAACGATATAAAAACAAAGAAAAATTGATAGATAAGATTTTCTATAATAACTAGGTTTGCCTGATCATTACCGAGGGCTCCCTGTGGGTGCGACCGGTCGACAGGGGAATGATTTCTCTTCCAAGGCACCTAATCAAATTTACTAGGGGTCCGTGTATTTGTCCCGTTTACATTCTATTTTTTTAAGCTTTATTAAATTTATCGTTGTTCATAAGTGTAAATTTTTTTAAATGTGGTATTATTACATTTTTCAGAAAATAATGTCCCATAGCATTAACTACTGAAAAATGGGAAACTTAAGACGTACATTGCTGCAACATATTATAGAAGTTGTGTAAATCAAATGCGGATTCTCAAAAACTCCCCAAAAAACTATTATTGTTCTGTATGCTATTAACGGGTGCAAATGGTTACTTGTTGGTAGTCCTGATCTCCAAAAACTGCAGAATCAAGTCAATCAGAAACTCAAGCTTCTTTTTGATATTAACTTTAGAGTATTTGTGAGTACATTCAGAATTTTTCTTTAATAAAAATAGACGTTCTAACTTTGACACTTGGGAGAATATCACCCAATCCTTGAAACTGTTTGAAATACACATTCTGTTTTAAACTTTTTATACAGAACATTTCCGTACCATATATGCGTAACGTCTTTTGCACTATATTGTTAACTTCAACAATTTCCAACCTTCCGTTTTCATGTTGTCAGTATTCAGAAATTAAAAAAATGTCAATGAGTGTATGTTTGGGGCAGTTTTTCTTCCATCTTTTTATTATATAAAGCACATTTAATAAAAAAAAAAAAAACTAAAATAATAATCGTAGTAATAAGTAGTAACAATTTTTATTTTTTGTACTTCAACGACGATATGAGGCTAAAATAACATTTAATAATGTGTACCTAGGTCATTTAAATATTAAACACTGCGTTCTAAAATCAATATACAAGGTTAATTTTCATTTTCGTTGAAACAATTTTCTTCCTTGTCAATAACCTGGAAATTCCTATTACCTGTAACTAATCATATAGAAAGTAATCATTATATTGTACAGGGTGTTACTATTTAAATAGCCAAAGGTTTGCTTTGGAAACAATCCATTGATATTTAAGTAGGTAGAGGGTACATAAAAAATTATAATCAGTTCATTCTGAGAGACAAAACTTCCTGATCAACAGGCAATTCCTTCGCAGTTTTTTGATGTTTTTTTCTGATTTGTTGCACACTTAATAAACAATTATACAAAAGTAACATAAAGTATATTATTATATATCAACTGATAAAGACCTTATTTGCTACTAATCTTTAAGAGATTGATAGATTCGCTTTTTTCATGTAGATTCAAATTTTGGGGTATACCATTTATTTTTTTCCTCCTTGGTAAATTATGCTCTGATGCTGCTTTCAGTACAAAAATTGGAAAGAAAAAAGATTTCAAAAATTCAAGTATCTTATACACACATAAAAATGAATTGGAAAAATACTGTTTTTACCTCATATCCAAAACATATTACAAAAACCACAAAATCGAATTAGACAATACAAATTGTGAGCACAAGTACGAACCTCTGAAAACAGATGGTGTACCAGTTTCATGAAAGTGTGAGCATCTCATAGATTAGAAATAATCTTTGGAGTACAAAATCAAGTTCATGATCAGCAAAATACATTTATTTAGCTTATATCAATTCAGGTGATGAATACTTCTTGGGTCGATAAAATCTAGTATTTTGTATTTTTTTCGATATATGCCTTGCATCAATTGTCTTAAAAAGCCTTTTGAAGTTTTTGGCATTGATCCTTTTGGTTACTCTGGCGAAGTAATAGATTTAACGATTGAAATTTAATGACGCATATAAAAATAAATCCAATGTAATATATGTACAGTGTATTACCCATTTTATTTTATTTTCAGAAATCAAATGTTAAGGTGATTCCACCATCACAATTTTATAGGTTCAAAGTACAAAAACTGCATTTATTTTCATTTTATATACTTTAAACTTTCCAATTATTGCAAAAAATGTATAGGTCACCATATTATTTCAGATGCGAAACATAAATAAACAGAAGTGTATGTCAACAAAAAAAATTGCACATTTTTTTTGTAAACCGTATTATGAAAAATATGTAAAAACTGGTTAAAATGTATAATTCTGATGCTGAATGTTCCTAAATACTTCCTACTTAAAAGATACTTTTGAATTGTGAATATCAGGGAAACTATTTTACAAAAAAGCAAATGCCTGAATGAAGAGACCTAAGAAGGAGTTATTGCCCTTGTCAACATTTTTTAAAGATTGAATAATTGATTAAATATAGAAAATATGCATTTTTTAAATTCTTAAACTTAATATTAATTTTATCATTACACCTATTATAAAGCATTGTTCCAAGAGATATTGTTCTATAAGGTATGAATTTAAACTAATTACAGTTTTTGCTAAAACCTATGACATCATAGGAGGGTGGAATTACTTTAAGGTAAGTATCAATAAGTATCAATCCTTGAAACTGTGGGTTATTCCGAGTGTAAAGACTTTTGAAAAAAGGAAACAGAAAGTTTTAATCAGCTTACTACCAATTTTGACTCATGAGAAAATAACAGGAATATACAAATAGCAAACAAGTAAAACAATACCTGGGCCTCGTCGATCACCTGAGAGCTAAAGGCAAAACTTAGTTCAATATTAAAATGTTCAAATATATTTATCTCTTCCATATGCTTAGAATGAAATTTTTTAAACATGTTGTTTTCCACACCTGCGTTATTTTTCAAAAATTACATACAGTATAATATGAATGAAAGGATTTTTTTTTCTATAGACATTTTATGAGTAGAAACAAGTGAATGGATGGAAGAGAAACATATTCTGTGTAAACATATTTCACACATTGATTGTGACCATATTGATTAAATATTAGAAAAGACAGGAGAATTTTCTACTTGTACTTTATTAGTAGTATTATCAGATTGGTAAAGTGTATTGCAATATTATCTTGGAGCGTTTTGTGTATTACATGTATTTCATTTTTGTGAATTCATGTGTTTATTTATGCAATTTTCTGAATAAATATACACTATTGTAAAATATTCTTCAAAATCTTCCCTGTATGATTTGACTGCTTTATGGATTGACCTTTGATTCCATTGTATTAAGGATAAATAAGTAAAACACTTTTTTCTTACAAAATTCATATATCTTTGCTAAATAAGGTGTCCTCTAACTTTAGTAAAACAGCTTAACGTTTGAACAAGTCGCATTGTTTGGTTAATCGTGCTAAAATGCAACTACAGTACATTTCACTACAAAAAAAGTTGAAAGTTTTTAAAAATTATTAAGTTTTTTTGCTTCAAAGTTTTTGGGGACATTGTGTATTTTTACATTTTACACCCTTAAAACTACTTATTTTTATGTTTCCATTGAAAGAAATATTGAAGAAAATACCAGCAACTCTTCTGTGTTGGAAATAAGAAAATTTGTTTGTGGTATGTTTCTTTAAAATATTTTCCCTTACACTTTAAAATATTTTCCCTTACATATTTCTATCGTTGATCCCCCATTGTGGTCCCACCCTAGCTCCCCCTGGGTCACGATTTGAACAAATTTGAATTTACATTTCATGAGACTGCTTCCATATTTATATGACTAAACATATGGTTTCGCTGATTATAAAAGAGTTTTGCTTTCTTATTCCTTCTGCATAAATTAAAGTATAAAGATATACTTTATTTGCACAATGAAGAGGCTTGACGGACTATTTATATCAATCCGAAGTCCTTTAAAATAAATTTTGCTTCATGCATCAACAAAATAAGTCTGACATGAACAGGGCGCAATTGGCATCTATGGAAATTCCGACAGGTTGTTGCAATACATGATCTCTAAAAACTACATAGATATTTGTCAGTCAGAAACTCAATTATCTTATGAGAGCATTTGTGTGTACAAAATGTACAGTCATAATGTTTCTTTAACAAAAAGAATTTGCTCCATTTTTGATACTATAATCGAATTTTGTCCCATCTTTGAAACTGGTTAGATTTGAAATACACATTTTGTTTGTCATTCTGTTTACTGTACATTTCTTCAGCATATATGCGTTACATCATTTAATTTACATAATGTTGTGAACTTCAGATTTTACTTATTTATTTATATTATACATGTTTTGTTTATATTTCATAATATATTTCACGGTGTTTGGTATTATCAATAATTCTTGGTAGTAAGTTGCTTCGTCGTTTATTTAGGAACATATGATGATTTAAATTCTAACCCTACGTTTTCATTTGTGGCAA